CTGGTTTGCGGACTCGCCGCCCGTTTTGCCCCAGTCCCCTAGGGGTGGCGTACCTGCATTCCTCTATGGCACAAGCTTCCTAAATAACGTCAAAGTGCCGGATGTTCAACCTTTAGCGCGCAGAAACCGTCCGATCTGGCAGTACAATTTTCCACCAATTCCCGGCCGCGCATTTTATGCCCACGATCAGTTGGTGCCTCCGGGAAACGCTAGAACATGTTGTACATGTAACATTGGGCAGCCGGGGCCCGGAAGTCGTTTCCAGAAATGCTCCTAGAGTCCAGGTGCTTCCAGAGGATGCTAGAAAGTGGGTGCGTGACCGTCCATGAATCATGATGATGGACGGTTTCATCATGTCACTGCTGATGAGAAAGCTGGCCACGTGGATTCTATCGGACGGCATCCGTAGATCCTTAGCCATGCCTACAACATCCACACCGTTTATCGTAATCACTCTTGACTCATCAACGGTGCACAGCTACCGGGTGATGGCGGAATAGCGAACCAGGTTCCCAAGCCGGAAGCTAGGTAGGTATAGAGAGCACTCCTTTCCTTTTCGGAAGCTCACTTCAACCAAGAAGTTTTGTTCGCACAGCTCCATCCCGGCTCACAGGAACGGGATCAGCGCTTCTCTTCGTCCAAAGCGGCTCACCAGGAACGCTTCGTGTTCTTTGTTCATTGCAATAACCAAAATGGCGTCTGTTGTGAAGGTGAGGTTCGGTCCCCCTTGAAATTATGAATTGTAGGATGTTCGAGACTTTTCTACAGGAGACTCATATGTTTCACATGCTAAGCCTAGACGGAGTGCTGTCTTGTTGTAGTTGTTCAATGGCTTGGTGCACTAGCACGTAGTTCAATGGCTTGGTACACATAACACGGACGCTCCCTTGCGCCTTTCATCTAGTTCTTACCTGTGATAGAAGAATTGAACTCATGTACAGTAGTGCACGCGTATCTTTGCTCTTCTGATGGTCAATATGAGTGAAAGAGACAGTCGAAGCCTGACATAAAAGTCAAGTGGTTAGGAACATGTGGAACAGGGAAAGGGGTTCAAGCAACATCTGAGCTCACTTGTAACATGGGGTTTGTTCAACAATGTTTTCATTTCCTTTCTCCCAGGTGTCGTTCAAGGGCATCATGAAACGTTTGACTTACGGGACGGAGGAGGCTAACTTTGATAGATTGGTGAAGACTTTGAAGGAGTCATTCTCAATCGCTGAGGGGGCGAAGCTGAGGATCTTGTACACTGACTCGGATGGGGACAAGGTGGGGTCAGCAGCTGTGCTCTATAATCTTTATATGCATGTTAGCAGTCTCCTATCGTTGATTTTTGGCTTACATCGGGGGACAGAGCCTTGTGCTTGGGGGGCACATGTATTGTGAAAAAGCATGGGTTAGAGCTTTTTGATCTCCCTTGGTTCAGACACTCGTTCAGACATTCAAAGCTTTGATGTAAGAGTTGTTAGCAGTCCGAAATTGTGAGAGCTGGTCCCATCTTTGTCTTTTCTATGTCTTCTAAATGGTTCTTTGCTTTAGTATAGGTTCTATGTCTTCTAAATTGTTCTTTGCTTCAGTATAGGTTGCAGAGTGACGATCTGCATGATGAGTAGTAATCCTGTAATCTTCTTTTGAATCAAGTTTCAATTAGGTGTTACCAATTCTTCGTGGTCTTGTTAGTCCAACCTCGTCAGTATTTGCCACCCTTGTGTTGTGCCTCCTTCTTTATTCTTTCCTGTCTTGGAGGTATAGGGATAGGGCAATTCTGCCTTCTGGTATACAGTTTCTTGTCAAATTCATCCTAGTGATCTTTATTCCAGTTGCAATGCTCACTGTGGTTTTATTATGGTGTTCTTCATTCCAGGTCCTCCTCTCCGACAATGAGGATCTCAAAGACGCCCTCAAGAACCAGAAGCTCAACCCGCTGTACCTTGAGGTGACCATCATCAAAGAGGCGAAGTCTGAGGCGAAGTCTGAGGCTAAGACTGCTGCAGGGGGTCCGGCACTGGACCCCCTTGCCGCGCTGTTCGGCAACATGAACAACTGGACCAACGGCGAGGGGAAGGAGCGCTTCAACAAGTTTGCGTCCAGCTTCAAGCAGGGCCAGGACGTCTTTGAGAGCATTCTGAAGGACATCAACCCTTCGACTGCGGCTGGCAGTTCTGACCTGATGGAGAAGATCCTCGCTGGAGTCTCGGCTGCAGCGGCTGCAGCCACTGACGCTGCGAGCGCTGCGTCTTCTAGCAAGTCGCAGGAGGAGGGCCCCAAGGAGGCCGCCAAGCCTGAGAAGGCTGAGAAGAAGGCTGAGAAGAAGGCTGACAAGGAGCCTGAAAAGATGGCTGAGAAGGAGCCTGAGAAGGAGACTGAGAAGGAGCCTGAGAAGGAGACTGAGAAGAAGACTGAGAAGGAGGACTCTGAAGAGAAGGCGAATGAGTCTGTCCACCCCGGAGTGCAGTGCGACGTCTGCAGCATGATTCCGATCAAGGGGACACGCTACAAATCACTGGATCAGCACGACTACGACCTGTGCCAGGCCTGCATGGACGCCTACCCTAACAAGACTGAGCAGTTCACCAGGATTGAGCACCCGCTGTACCGCCCTCGTGGCTTCGGCCCTGGGTTCAGGGGGGGGAGGGGGGTGAGTAATCAGTGTTTCTGTTCAGAGTCTTATGATAGACAGGATATTCTTGTTGCATAGGGTTCGATTTTCAAAGTCTTTCTTTGTTTAGGTTTTGAAGAACTTTTTGGTTTTGAAGAAGTTTTTGTTGAACCTTCTGATGTCATGAGATTGGTTGCTTCCCCTTTCATTGAATAAAAGGAGACATAAGTGCACCAGGACTTACACTTTTGCTATAAGTGGTACTCAAGCAAAACGGAGTTTTGTTCAAGCAGTTTGTGTGTGCAATGTCAGGGTCACTTTAGTACCTTAAGCATCTCTTGTCAAAATTTCAATGCCATGTCAGGATTACTTGCTTCTTTCTTAGAACACAATCTTGCTCTGAAGAGCAAGAGTTGCCAAGTTGCCTGCACCTACTTGCACATGATCACACAGGGAAGCTGACTTTTGTCTCTTTCTTTCATTCTGCCTGAGCTTGCTTTCTGGTAAAGTGACATTCACAATGGGGCATTCAGACTGTCAAGTATCATTGACATTGAGGCAGTTACTTACCTGAGTGGAAAGATTCTCTAATCCAAGTACTATGTCCTTTCTGACCAGCAGTCCACCTACTTCATGTATTTTATCTAATCAAACTTACATCTCTCTCCAAACACAGGGCCCTCGCTGCATGCCTCCCGGCCTCCAGTTCGGCGGCCGCCCCTTCATGTGTGGCAACGCCAACCCCAGCAATCGCTGGGGAGGCGGCCGTCACTGGGGTCCCCCCAGCACTGCAGAGGCAAAGCCTGACGCGCGCTTCGTCAAGGACGTGACCATCTACGACGGCACCGAGATGGTGCCGGGAACGCCGTTCACCAAGATCTGGCGCTTCCGCAACGTCGGCACCACCGCCTGGCCGCAGGGGACCCGCATCATCAAGGTCGGGGGCGACAGCCTGGCGGAGCAGGAGACGTTTGAGCTGCAGGTAAGAATTGAAATTTGCTGCAATCGTGTGTGAGGATTGTCCTGTCAGCAGGGGTGATGGCTGGGAGTTTTCGTCCTTGTTGCTCCTGTTTCTCTCTGCTTTGTGCTGTCTGCCGGAAACCCATCAGAAGAAACAGTGTGACTGGCTTCTTTTTAAGTAACAGCTATTAGTTTCGAGTACTAGCAAATGGTGCATATGGCTTCCATTGTTATCTAGAGAGCGTTTTGACAGGTTTCTCAAGCCCTCTTTTGGTCAAAAGTCCTGTGGCTTTCACTTGGAAGATCTGGGCAGTTCTGGGCAGTTTCACTGAGAGCAAGTTCTGAAGCAAAAATTTCCTTGTCCGCTACAGATCAGCGAGAACGGCCTTGCACCTGGAGAGGAGGTCGACGTGGCGGCCAACCTGAAGGCCCCTGAGAAGCCCGGGCGCTATGTGACTCACTTCCGCCTGGCGACTCCCCAGGGCGTCAGATTCGGCCACCGCATGTGGGCCCTCATCCATGTAAGCAACGATATCTGTTTGTATGGCAGTTCAGCACCTGAGTTATTCAGGCCCTTATTTGGTGATCTCACTTGTGATTTGATGATTTGAAATTGGATGATTCGCATTTTTGGAGTACAGATCGATCTGTGCGCAGATCCTCGTTAAGAGGGACGGCGCATGGTACTTGCACTGCCTTGCTGAGACTTAAGATGGTTTAGGCAATACCATTTGTCTCAATTGTTTTGTGTATCAAAAATGTACTTCGCACGTCTTGGAAAAGAAAGAAAGGACATATCAGCGCTTACTTATCTTCCCTGATTCCTCGTTCCAGGTTCTGGACAAGGACGAGGAGTCCCCTCTGGTGGCCGACTCCAAGGCTGAGGACGTCACGCCCTCTGCTCCCGCCGTTCCGGCCCCCGAGAAGGAGCCTGTCAAGGAGACTTCCGATGACGTCAAGGTGATCCCCGTAGAGGGCGCTGACGTCACGCCTGAGGAGACTGCAGTGGTCGTCACCCCGGAGAGCCCCACCTCGGAGCCCACCAACCTGGGGGACGACGGCTTCATGAAGGTCGAGCAGTCCGACACCAAGAGGTGAGGGAGCGAGCGTGCCTTCTACATCTGGTTGTGAATCTGGTTTGGTAGGTTGCATGTATCTGGTTGTTAATCTGGTATGTTAGGTTGCATGTATAAAACTTACTTTCGGTAGTAATATGCAAGACTGTGGAAAAGCTTGACCAGGTATTCGTCTTGGTCAAGCTATGGGTTGCAGGAAGCGTCTGACTCGATGTTTTGAGAGTTGGTGCGTGAAGATGGCCTCGACGTGTCGGTCCAATTGTGGGAACATTCCAACCGCGGAGGTTTTCAAACACACAATCACCTGAAGTTTTTTGAGTAGCCTGGCTGTAGGTGACTCCCTCATTGGCTCGTTCGAGGGCGTTAGTTTGGTCACGAGGCTCTTGACAATCACTCCATGATAACGCCGCTTCGTTCACTTTTCAAGCTCGTGACGCTCACGACTATCCTCTGCTCCTCGTTTCGCCGCAGCCCTGAAGACTCGTCTCCGGAGGAGACCGTCATCCAGGCCCCCGCGCCCACTCCTCCCGCGGTAGACGCCCCCAAGACCGCCGACACCGCCTCCCCCGAGAAGGCCCTGTCGGCCGCCGAGGACGCCTCTGCGGAGCAGGTGGTGCCCGAGAGCGTGGTCGCGAACAAGGCCCCCGAGGGCGAGCTGTACAAGGAGCAGCTAGCCAAGCTCGCGGAGCTGGGCTTCGGCGACGGCGCGCAGAACGTGGCGCTGCTGGAGAAGTACGGCGGGGACCTGCCTAAGACCATCAACGATCTGGTGACGGTCAACGAGTGGGATCCGATGCTGCAGGAGCTCGAGGAGATGGTGAGCGCGGCTTCTGATTCTTCTTTTCTGTTAGTCTTAGGTTTCCTTGGTGTTAGTTTTAGGTTTCCTTGGTGTTCGAGAGTTTTTGTGAGTGTTAGGACTCCCACTGTTCGACAGAGTTAAGATTCAGAGATTGTGCAAGTGATCGGCCACCAGAGATGTGGGAAATCCAGGACATGTAGGGATGTGCACGGCACTGTTTTAGGCAGGTAGCAATTTGTGGTGCTCAATATTGAATGTGGGTTGCATAATATACTTTTCAGCGAAGATTGAGCGTTCGGCAAGTTTGACAGTACGGCTGATTGTTCTGCTCGCGCAAGATCCTCCATTGGCCGTGCAAGATCCTCCATTGGCTGGCATCCTAAGCGAGCAGAGAATCCTGCTGCAGGGTTTTTTCTCTGACAAAGGCATTGCATCTTTGCTGCAGGGTTTCTACGACAAGGAGCTGAACCGCAGCCTCATCTACAAGAATAACGGACGTCTTCAGCGTGTCGTCAAGGTAAGGAGTTTTCTCTATGGATGGGTGTGGGCTTGTGACCGAATGCTCTACAAAGCAGGCCGCAAAGCAGGTGCAAAGTGCTTTTTTTTTGTGCAAGCTGGAGAAGACATTGTCTGATGTCCATACGAAACCTCATCGTGGGTGCTAACAGCTTGTCTTATTCGAAGCTGACTTGCAGCACAGGAACTGATGAGTCTTTTCCTCTGTGTCGACAGGATCTGGTGCAGATCTACAAGGCCGGGCCTAGTGCTTAATTAGGCAGGGCTCAAAGGTGGTGTGCAAGTGGATGTAGTGTGGGCTTCGTAACCATGGAGACGTGGCGTGGAATAAGCAGTTGTGGCTTCAGAAGACTAGACAGCGGTAGTGACCAGACGTCAGATTCTGGAAAATCGTTGGACCTTGCATCAGACCTCGGAGCGGGTTCATCGACCTGTGTCATGACCTGTGGGATTGTCGGCATCAGATCAGACCTCAGAGCAGGTTGATAACCTGTGAAGATCGGACCTTGGATTAGACCTCGGATCAGACCTCAGAATTGGTCGTTCCTGTACGAATCATCAGACCTCGGAAGACCTTAGAACAGGTCGTTCCTGTACGAATCATCAGATCTCGGATCAGACTCTGGAGATGCTGGTCCCTGCCTTGATTGAAATTGTTTACAAATGTAACACTGGGCATTTCAATGGTCTTCCAGTCCACAATTTCGAATGTTGTGAGGTCATGGTCCACTCGACACTAGATTGATCGATCTTGAATTCCTTTCTGGCGTGCTTATGTGAAATAATCAAACACATACGGAGTATTGAAATTATAGTCAGTCGCCGGCAGATGCAAAGGCTATGCAAGCCGCTGGCCAGTGCATACCGGATCTGAACGAGTATTTGAAATTGGTGATTCGATATCATGACATAAGCCTTGAGCTGCTTATGTCATGATGATACCCGCACTGTTGAGTGCAAGTGCATGCTGAATGCATGCATGCAGTTATCATTAACCGATCGATTCAGTGCTTGTGATCGGATCCATTTCACACGTCTGTGCATGTGCGATCTAAGCTAAGTTTGTCTTGCGTCCCGAATAATGAAAATCGACAACGGCTGTCACAGATATGTGCATATATATGTTTTGAATGCCGCCGGCGCTGCATGGTGCACAACAAGTGTAGATCAGCTAGTATATACCGGTATTTTCTTTGTGACTTTCACATGCCCAACTTAGTAGGCGGCTAGAGATCGGCTATATACTAGGATCGGACTTGTGACACACTCATGCCGGTATAGTGCATGCATAATCTGTGCCAGCAAGCCTTGATGCGGATATTGCAATTAATGGTACACTTGACAGGGATATGCGCGCGATGATGCACCGACTGAAGCACACATGTACATCTTATACGCGATGCGCTGAGGTATCATAATTGCACACATACTGCATGATACAGGCTGCATGTAGTGTGGAGGCCACCAGGAAGCTGACGGGGCGCAATGTGGCGGTAGAATTCGGAAACAGGTGAGGGGCATGCCTCATTGTGGACCTCAGTGTTTCCCTTGGAGAGTGCAACTCAACTAGGCAGCCTAGCGTGTCCGGTTGTATATTCAACTGCAATTGGGTCAATTGTGGCACTCGACCATCCGTCACGGTACCAGCCCATGGCGGCCAGGTATTCTACGTGTTGAATTACGCTGCATGGATGATGCACTGTGGTTACGCATCTCTGAGTGGCATCCAGTCAAACCATCTGTCATTCCTGCGCTCGTGTCTAATTTATACTACTCGTGATGCACTTTCATGGTGTAGAAGGGCAATGCTTTCATTAACAGAAATACGATGGCCCCTCCTTGCAGAAGTGACAGGAAAAATGGTCATCATGGTCACCGGATGCGAAACATGGCTTTTCTGACCTTCAACACATGTCTGCACGTTAAGGAGAGCCGTGGGCCCAACCTAGGCACAGTTTGAGGTAAGCTTTCGCCACCCAAAGACGGAAGAAAGCTTCTTTGCTCCACATCCAGGAATCCTGGAATTTCTAGCGCAGGCAGATTCACTACCTGCGGTGACAAGAATAGCAGGTTCATTGAAGCAGGCAGATTTTCCGTCGTAATATGAATCGCGCTTGGGGCATAAAGCCACTTCCCCTCACACAACGTTAAGCAGCGTAAAATCTGTCAACCATGAATGCAAACTGAACGAGACAACCGGCCTATAACATTCACGCCACAAAATCTTGACTAGACAGTCCAGATTCAAGTATCGAAACTCACCGTTCAAGACGAACACTTCCACGCTCTTTGCAGCGGATCAGAGCAAGGCGGAGCTTTGAACAAGAAAGAGAAAACAGCGGAGTAGTGCTCCGTCTTAATTGCGGGCTCACCGTTTCATCGATCTCGTGTTCCATACTCTCGTCGATGCCGTGCAAATGATCTGTAAGCCAAGAAACGCTTGCGAATCAACCTTACAAATAACAGTCCTCTAGGTCAGAGAATCAATCAGGAGAGCGTCCAGTTACGTTAAGTTGCAACAAACCACAGTAATAAGCTTTTTCAAGGACGTCGAGAATGAAGGCAAGCAAAGATTTTGAGCCTCACCAGGTCAACATCGCAACAACGCATGCTTACACCCGGACGAGTCCCTCCGCTTGTGCTGCCAAGCAATCGCTATCAGCCGGTAAGAGTCTGCACGTTTCGGTGGGCCCAAACTTACCAGTATATGCCTCGTCTTTAAAGATGAGCAGGCTCCTTGGCATCAGCACAACCGAGCAGTGAGATGGCTTGCGGGCCCCCGTAAACCCAAGCTGGTCCTCGAACTTCGAAAACACGCTTTTCCCGCTGTCAGCAGTGCCGTTCTGCATGACGTTAGCTGTCTGTCCTGTTTCCTGACATGACGCTTGAGCTGCGGCTGAACTGTCTGAATGACCACTCAAGCCGCTGGCTTCACTCGCGAGTGCATTGGCCGCTGTGTGTTCTTGACTAGAGCTGTGAGATGGTGAATCAACCGCACTGCTGAGATTCGTTCCTGGTTCTGTAGTTGCTTGAGAGTCATCCGGATGATGAGGGGAGGAGCTTTTGCGGGGCGTAAAGCGCATGACGGCTGGCGAGCCTAGGGACAGAATTGCAACGACGGGGTAGTACATAGGGCCGTCCTGGTGTGGCTGCACGAAAGAGCACACTTCCGTTCAGCTCGATTTGGATGTGCAAGTGTTCAGTCTACTATAGAAGAGGACACCGCTTACTCTGACACACTACAGTAAGTACAAGCGTAAAGTGTCACCTGCGATCAAATCGGTTCGCTCCCCACCATGATCAATTGTACAAGGACCAGTGACAGCGGAGAGCGTGCTTTCTGGACGGTTTTGGATACTTGAATACTTGAAACACATGCTCTGAGAACTTGAAGACAGGAAAGAGATTTGCGTGCTCACCATGATGCCCTGCCCTGGAAGGTACTCGTTGATAAGGACGTGGTTCAGGGGGGAGGGGAACATGTCGGTCTTGGCAGCGATGCCAGTCAACACACCTTCTAGCCATTTGGGAACTGCACGTGGCAGTTTATAAGGATATGGAATGATCTTCTAGTTTCTGATATGCTTAGTAGTCATCTGGCAGATCCATTGCTGACCTATGTGGTCTGTTGAGCTTACCAGTCACTCTTTCTGGAACATGGTGACGCATTGACATCAGAGTTCACCAACTGTGTCCCTGAGATCGACCCCTTGTTGCACAAAAAGCCTAGTCAGCTTTTTCAACCTGAAGAACCTGGTGAACAGAGTGATTTGTCTATGAGGCTAAGACGGGGACAGCAAGTGACTAAAACATAATACCAGGCTCTGTCCAGTATCTAACCCACCTGGTTCTGGAATCATGCCCTTCTCATGCACCATGCCACCTGTTGCCATGGACATAAGAGAGTGAGAGTAGGTGCCAGCCAGACAGAAGGAAAGAGCTTGCAGGCTGGTTGAACAAATGGAGTCATCAAAATCACGACAGAGGACTTGCTTGAGCAGTCTTATCACGCCAGCCAAAGTTCCACAGGTTCTGGACAAAGAGGATTTCTTCCCTTACCCCAGTACTGCAACCTTCTGCCTTTCAGCTCTCTCCACTTCGTTCGTGGTGCAGCGTGGATCTGCGCAGCTCAAAAGGAGAGGGAATCCATTAGCTCTCGCAAACCTTTGAGCCCCACTCGGCAGATATTTCGTTTCCCTTCCGCTACCAGAGCAACGAGATCTTCAAACAACTAAGAACACCCAACCTGTTTTTGCCATTTGACTCAAGCAATACAGCCCACCTGATCAATCAACTTCCGTTCTTGTTCAGCAGTGACAAAGTCAGGTATGTAGTAGACTGATGGAAGTTCCCCCACTTTAAAATTCTCCATGTCGTACTGGTGTGCGCAAGATGACGCATATGTATCTCAGAGAAATAAAAGTCCTGTTTTTTCACAAAAGCTTCCCCAGAGAAAAGAGGTGGTTGTGCGTGGTGGTGCCCACTGATGAAAGGGTGGTGAGCTAGGGGAGGCAATGCTGTAAGCTGGTGAAATCAAGTCAAGTAAACATCTCCTGAACACTCCACTATGTTATTTTGAATGCCTAAAAGCTCTTTCCACTCACTACCTACATTAAGCTACAATCTACTAGTACAAGCTGAAGAGGGTCCAGCCGCCAGCGTCAATCGCTTCAAAATCAGCAATGCCAATGGTGCTCTGTCTAGCTCTGTCTCTGTTGCTTTCATCTCAATTTCAGCTGTCCTCGAACAGCGGCGAATTACAAGGCCTAGAACCAGCGACTAGAATTCACACTGTACCAATGATCCAGGTTACAGCCGGGATTAAGACTTGGGCTTGCGTGTGACTTGGGCGCTCGATCGCATTTGAGATTTCAAATTCAGGTTCAGCTGCGGTTCCTGTCCAAACCTGTTCAAACTGTTGAAACAGGGAGAAGACACAGTTGACAAAGCAGCAAACTTCAAAGCATGGCGGGCCGCCCTTGGCATCAAGGCGTTCAGAAGTGGCCCGGACTTCAAGTTCAGAAGACTATTGATTGACGGCTGTAGCTCATGCAGAAGGTTACTCTTACAGAGTACAAGCAATGCGGTGCTATCGCTGTGCCGGTCGCTTGCTTGTACAAGGGGGGCCGAGCAGCTGGGTCAGTTAGTGAGTAAGTGTCTGAGAAAGTAAGGTGCGGATAGCCAGAGGTAGTGTACACATGACACGTCGCAAAAGCTAATGTTTTGAGCAACGACACCACTAGCGACGTAGACCACAAGGTGTATTGAAAGATGGCGCGCTACCAGTTCTCCGACCACGCGGAGCTCCGGGCAGTTTCGCACATTGACATGGATTGCTTTTACGTGAGTGTTTGGCTTTTCAAACAACTGCGGGTCTTGGTGCTTGTGCTCAGTGACCTGCCAGTGGGAGAACTTGGGTCGCACTCAAGGTCGATCTTTCCATGCTGGATGTGGCTGGATGACTTTCAATTGCTCGTCGGAGTCTGTTCCCACAATTCTATGGCCGTGCCACTGTTTTTCAAAGTGGTCGTATCATAATGCATAACCCAAGTGCTCTGGACATGTAGCGGCTTTTTGAATAAGTACTGCGGCTATTGTTGCGATCCGCGGTGCTGTGCCTTCCTTACAGGTGCAAGTGGAGCAGCGAAGGAACCCCGAGCTCAAGGGCAAGCCAACGGCGGTGGTGCAATACAACCCCTGGAAAGGGGGAGGGCTGATCGCTGTTGGATACGAAGCGCGTGCAAGAGGAGTGAAAAAGTAACTTCTCCACAATCCTTTTGGTCATTTTGTCAGTTCCGATTGTCAGCTCCTTTGGTTCAATATTTGGGTGCTGAAGTTGTTAGGATTTCACGAACTTTGAATTCCTGGTGTGTTGACAACACTATCATTCCCCAGGTTCAAGTCCCCCCAGGTCCGTTCACCCAGCAACTCCCCCTGTTTATCCTTCCCAGCAGAGAGGATTTAACCACCTGAACTTGATACTCAGCCCTTCGTTCCAACCTTGTACTGAGAAGAGTCAGACACAGAAGCTCTGACGTTTTTGAAGAACCTCTTTGCAGGCAAATGCGCGGGGATGATGCCCGCGAACACTGCCCTGACATCAACCTTGTGACGGTGCCAACAGCTCATGGGAAAGCAGACCTGACCATCTATCGTGAAGCCGGAGCAGAGGTAAAGGATCCTCAACCTGCATTTCAAGTCCGGCTCGTTGGTTCTATGAACCTGCATGATGAAACCGATGTTTCTCGGCTTCTGGCGAACTGTCCCATCAGCTGTCCCCCCATGACAGGTTGGCTGGGGGTTGGACAGCGCACGATGAGGAAGTCGTGCTAGCAATTCTCTTTGACAGCCTCTTTTGAACAGCATCTCAGTATTCAAGTACGATTGAGGAAGCCAACTTTGCTTACCAAAACCTTGCGGGCGTCTTCTTGAAGGACCTTGAATCGAGCGTTTGTTTGGCAAAACCGCAAGAAGGGAACAACTGTTCAATGTCGTTGACCAACGGCCTCTCGTGGTGGCAGGTGGTGAGTATCCTGTCAAGGAAGGGGCGCTGCGAGCGCGCTTCTATTGACGAGGTGTATCTGGACCTGACCGAGGCCGCAAAGGAGAGGATGGCGCACGTGCCAACAAATAGGGACGACCTTCATGCGGAAGCTCAGAAGAGCCACGTCCTGGGAGTAACGGTGAGTGTGCACGCAACATCTCAACCTGCGCTCTGAAGAAAGGCCGTTCCTCGACCAGGATTATTTGTTGAGGAGGCTGCAGAACAGGGAGGAGATTGAAGCGATGGGGTCATTCTCTGTGATGCACGACTGGAGGACTAAATCAGAGTCCTTTCGAAACTCGAAAAGCTCAACCTCTTAAATCGCGGGAAAGTGCAAAGCGGACTGTGGGTGCCATCTGTTGACCTGCAACGACAGCTGGCTCGTTTCTCTTTCTGCAATACTTTCACTATTGTCGAAATCAGATTTGACTGAAGCGACTAACTTGAGAAGAGGACGTCAACTGTCAAGCAGTTGCTTCGACAGGCGTCCTCCCAACTTAGAGCACAACAGATTCAAGACCCCTCTTCGCGGCCCGGCATCCGCAATGCCTCCTCGTGGCTCGAAGGCCTTCCTCCTTAACATCTGCTTCGAAGTGGAGCACGAACCAAAACCCCTCTCTGCAGCCCAACGTCTCCGACGCGTCCTCATGGCTCGTTTCTCGTACCGAGTACTCCGAGCAGCTGTTGGCCGCGGCCGCGCTGATTGTTGCGGAACTCCGAGAGGCCGTCCGCATGGAGGCGCGGTTCAGCTGCAGTGCGGGCGTCGCGCACAACAAGATGCTGGCCAAGCTGGCGAGCAACATGCACAAGCCGGCGCAGCAGACGCTGGTCCCGCTCGCGGCGGTGCCGGGGCTGTTCGAGGAGCTGCCGCTCAAGAAACTGTGAGGCGTGAGGCAGTCGTTGCGCTGGACGAGTTTCCGGTTTGGCCATCGGTTTGGGAAGCAATCAAAGTGGTCGTTTGATCATCAGGAAGTGGGGCGTGATCGTTGATCGCGACGTTCTCAGAACGTAGCACTTACGATCGGAAAGTTGCTGGATGTCTCGTAACGAAAACGCGTTGCAAGTTGCCCTGTGACCGAGCAGTGCACCTGACGGGCTCATCCAACTTCTAAGGCCTGCATGACTGGTTGCAACCGCCCGCTGACTTTGCCTCCGTCTGATCACTTCCATACCCTCTCACTCATGAGAGCCGTTCAAATATGCTGAGGATATTCGCCTCGTTTGCACCAGCTTCGGATTCTTCCGTTTCCCTGCGATGCTGACTGCGTCCTGTCGTCATGCAGACGTCAGCTGGGCGGGAAGCTGGGGGCGTCGTTGGAGAACCAGCTGGGGCTCAACACGGCGGGCGATCTGATGCGGGTGCCTCTGGAGAGGCTACAAGACATGCATGGTAAAAACGTCGGGTGAGGACTATCAAAACACTTTTGAGCTCTAACTTTTGTGATTGCCTAAAATACTTCTTAGTGTGGGGAGCTGGCGCCGTTTCTATTCTGTTCAACCGATTGTTTTTGGTCCCTGGTCCACACGACATCTTTTGGTTACTTTCCTCCGGAGACAGATGTCGTCCGTCGCCGCAGAATCCTTTTTGATACCGAAACAAGGTAATGTTGCTCCTTCGACTGACGGTCTTGGCAGGTGGAACCCTCTCCCACGACGGACACTTCCGTCAACAGCCTTCCGAAGAGGTCTTGCTTTCTGTCCGGAAAGGCCAAATCCAAATGTCGCGCCGCCGCCAGCAGGATCCAAATGTTTGGGAACATTCTATCAGCGTGTGGGGTTCACGTCTTGTCCTCGTTCTGACGTGTCTCTCTATAAACTAAAATCCGAAGCCCTCTCCATCTGCCCCCAAGCATGTGGCTGGTCCGCATTCCTATTAAAATACTTGACCCTTGCTTAATACGCTCTCCCCGGCAGATCCTAGTTCCTTTCTCCCCTCCCCTCAGCATGTGGCCCCTCTGCGCGTTTCCTCTCTCCTTCTCTCCTCAGAAACTGATCTCTCCCCCCGGGAGAAACCTAGCCTTCTCGTCCCATGCAAACCATAACCATGCTGCTCCTGCACCCCCCAGCATGTGGCTGTTCCGCATCTCCCGGGGCCTTGACGACGACCCGGTGAATGACCGCGTTCTGCCCAAGAGCCACGGCTGCTCCAAGACGTTCCCCGGGCGCAACGCCCTGGCCGACTTGCCCGCGGTGCGCCACTGGGTGCGCCAGCTGGCGCTCGAGCTAGATCAACGGCTGGAGACGGATGCGGAGCAGAACGGACGGTTCGCGCGGCTCCTCGTGGCCAGCGTCAGCTATCACACGGTGAGGGGCGTTGAATGACAGTTGGTGGGTTGTGGTAATTGCGATGACGTATGCTGACCTCGGGGTGCTTGAGGGGGCTCTGTTGGAGTGCCGGGCACGTGAAGAGATATTGAGGAAGGAGAGCCTCTTTTCGTACTTCTGTGTCGGAGTTGGTTTACCGCACAAGCGCGTACGGGTTCGTGCATCATGTGGGCGTGCCATTATTTGTTTTATCTTCTTATCATCATCAGGGCTCAATACCGTGGCCTCAGTGTTCCCCTTCCAGCCTACCATCTTTTCCTTCTTATTTTCCAATCAATGAAGCTTCTGTCTCAAAAATTTCCTCCGAAGAACCTTGAATCTGCGAGCGGTAAACTCCGCTCACGAATATCAGCCCCCTTCGACTGCAGGAACCCACCCTCGCGTCGCCCCACGGTGTGTCCAAGTCGTGCCCTATTGCATACGGGGTCGACCGGATCACAGCGGACGCCTTTGGACTTGTCCGGCGAGTGCTGTCCGACTGTCAGGCGTTTTATGTGACGTCAATGGGCCTTTCCGCGACCAACTTGCAAGCGACCCCCGAGAAGACTGCTTCGATTACGACGTTTTTGAGAAAAGTTCCTGGGAAACAGAGTGCGGCATCAGACGGGGGCGCGCCGACTGGGTCAGAAACGACGGACAGGGGGGAAGGAGAGACGGCGCTTGATGAGGAAGGCAACGGGGGTTTGAGGGGGCAAGTCGCTGCAGATGAGAAAGAGGGTACGGCGCAAATAGAGGGCGAAAGGGGCGGTGGGTCGGGGGAATATGCTGAAACGAGCACCGGAGGCGAAGCGAGACGGAAAACGGAAGTTGGTGCACGCAAGGTGAAGCGGCAGAGGAGTCCACTGCGGGACTGGCTGGCCGCGGCAAGCGGCCCAAGGCCTGCGTCGAAGGTCATTAGCACTGGCGGAAGCGAAGGAAAGGGAAAAGGGCTGGAACGAGAGGTCTTGGCGGGGACTGCAACGCAGTCAGATGCGCTAAAAGCTGAAGGGCGAGCAGCCTCGGAGCCTGCAGAATGTGGAAGAACGGGGGCGGACGATCCAGCGCTGCAGAGCGAGGAGTTGAGGGGGGATGAGATTGACGGGCAGCACGCATTGGAAGGGGTTTCGTGTGTAGAAAGGGGTCCAGACAGCACAGTTGGGGAGGAGTGCGAGGATGTGCAGCTTACGCTGGAAGAGTGGATAGGTGACCGTGGTGGTACTGATTCTAGATCGGCAGCGGCTGATCCGGAACATGCCTCGTGTGAGGGCCGGGGGAGGACCAGCGAGAACGAGAAAGGGGCCGCCAGTTCAGCGGAAGTGGCGGGGGTAACGGCGGAACCGACGGGGTTGTCTGACCTTGCAAAGAGCGGACACGCTGACAGGTTGGATTTGGGAGGAGAGCTGGGTGAGGGTAATGTTGCTATCGAAGATAGGAACAATGGGGAAGAGAAGGCCGACAGTGGTTTCGAATGGAAGGGGGCGCTCGCAGAAACAGCGACGGCACGGCAAGTGCGGAACCGAGTGGAAGCTCCGAAGAGCTTAGAGGCGCTGTGGCAAAAGGCTGCGGTTCCAAAGACGGATGTACAAAGTGAGAGAACGGTAGAGGACCAAGCGGGGGCAAGCAGAGAAGGGCGGAGGAGTACGCAGTCCAAGACGAGAAAGCGATCGTTGGACGGACACGTGGCAGACGCCAAGGAGAAGTTGCAGAAGCTCTGGTCCAAAGCACCCAGTGCTAAAGATGAGACTGGGCCGGCAGAGGTTGGTAGTGGCATCACTTACGAGTTCGACTGGCAAGAAGTTGACCAAAGCACCTTGGACGAGTTGCCATTAGCAATTCAGGCCGAGATCAGAGCAGCGCAAAGGTTGCAGATGCAGCGGCAGCAACCTAAAGCTGCAAAAAAGCTAGAGAAGGCACAGCACGCGCAGAGCATTAAGCCGTTCTTCCAGAGGAAGTCCCGCTAGTTGGGGGCCATTGCAGCATACGAAAGTAATGGTACATTGCAGCTTGAGCTTTTATATGACAGCTTTGTAACTTTTCGTGACGGCCCGGTGATCAACAGATTGTGTACGTGTGCTTAATCAGAAATACATGGCTGCATCGTCGTGTTTGGATTGAAAAGAATTTGCATGTCGCCTGCATTGAATCGCACGCGGCCGCCAATATATGCATGCTTGTTGGGCTGCCGGGCCCTCATTCAAGTGTGTATGAGGCCCACATATGGCTGTAGATTAAAAATAATGCATGACGTATATGTGCGCATGACGCAGCTATATGCATGTACTAAATGGTTTGTCATGACATGCCAGCATGAGGCCATGCCATGCAGGCTCGTTATAAGATTAAATTAGATTGAATTAAAGGTATATGGAACGCGTATCAGTGCGCGCCTGAGGGCAGCAATCGTGGTGGGCCAGCATGGCCTTGACAATCACGCGCGAACGGTACGCTGAAAACGTGATGCAGAGCGTAAATCTGCTGCAAATCTTCCAATATGAATTCGCTTTACAAATTGGACGCGTTCCAATTTTACAAGTTTGCGCCCTTATCAAGAGCTTCAGCATTATTTTCGACATATCATCTTCGAGGGCCTATGGACTCTTCTCAGCAATGATGCTTTACCCAGCCTCCACAGCCGGCTTTCATCTAACGAGCCACAGCCACAGCACACGACATCCTAGGCTACTGCCCCACCGACCTGCGAAACGTGCCCCCCTGTAGTATCTCTAACCTGCCTTGCAGAGCAGCCTCGTTGATTGAGAACGTACTTCGGTGGCAGCCGCCTCGCCCACTCAAGTATGACAGGTGACGGGCCCGCAGCCAAGCTGACCCTCAAGCTTTTCTCCTGCGTGTTTCGTTTTGCACATTCTATGCACAAAGGTTGCTCCCTTTCTGGTCCGCGCCATGCTGGGCTGCGGCGACTTGACCCAAAGGGCATACCCTGACTGCCTCGCCCTGACATCCTGCAAGGGCTCCACAAGTTCGCTCTAAAGGTCGTGCGTCCTTTGACCCTGATCAGCACCGCTCTCGACCAAGCTCCCAAAACCGAAGCTTCCATCCCTCACTTTCCCCCCCGCCTGCGCGTTACCCCTTGCTGAACGTCCATTCCAATCAAACGTCCTTCCACATTTTAGTCTCCTTCGCTGGTCATCTTAACCCGATCTACATGGTCTGGCGCGCCTGCTTTCCCCGCGACTTCTTGAGCTGCCCCTCCTTGAGCAGCGCCTTCAGCTTCGCCTCCGCCTCGTGCACCGTCTCGCCCTTCCCCTGGAACGCCACCCACGCGCCCCGCGCCGCATTTTCCCGCGCCTCTAGTTCCGTCAGGTCCGCCTCCATCTGCTGCTTCAGCTCGTCCAGCTTCTCGTTGAACGCGCGGAACTCGGGGGACGCCTGTAGCGCCTCCTCTGCAGGAAAGTGCGATATCAAATCAAACGGGCGATGATGTTACTAAGACGTAAGAATCATGAAGTTCGACGGCTTGGCGGCTGCTCATCACCTCCTCTGCGGGAGGGTAGGCTTTCAGGAATAGGAGCGGCCGATGCTGACGTCACTATGACACGTGGTTATGAATTGAACGGGCTTGTCTCACAGGCGGCTGCTGCAGCGAACCCTCTTCGCAAAAAGGGCGGATCTGACTTCTGGAGCAGCAGCACCGTCCTGCTGACGTTAGAAGAAGCAAAAACCTTATTGCTGGCCGCTCGCACAGATTGCTATTGCGTCCAAATTTGTATGACGGGGTGAACCCACTGAGGCGATCGCACGCCTTTTCAGATTGGGCTGCTATTGCACCAAACAAAATTTCCTTAGGTCATCAGCACTGCCTTTCGAGACAATCGTCGATCCTGATTCAATTGCCCAGGAATGCCCGTCATGCAAGGAATAGGACTTCAAACTTTCCAAGATTGAATTGTTGAACTCTGAGGACTTCGGACACAAAAGGCACACAATCCGCAAGGCGAATGATTGTGGCCCTCAAATCCTGCAGCTGCCAGTTTTCGCGTCCCGCAGATCCCACCAGCATCTGAACCCGAACCAACAGACCTGAGCAACTTCTGACGACCCAAAATCTTGAGTGTCCTTCACAACGACGCCCCAAAACCGTCAGACTTACGCAGCGCAAAAACCGACATCTGTGAGCTTGATCTCTCGCACATTTTCTCCGGCACCTCGAGCCCAACCAATCTGAGCAGCTTCCTGCGAAACCCGTAATATACCGAGCCATTCTCCACCTTATCGACACCCCCAGCCATTCTCCACCCTATCAACACCCCGATCCCCCAGAATTAGCATAAACCAGAGTTAACGGAACCCAACCCACGCACCTGTGAGCTCCTCGTCCCGCGCGTCCAGCCCCAGCTTACGAGCCATGGTCAGCTTCTTGCGGCGCGCGTCGAGCGCGGCGGCCTTGAGCATGCCCACCGCGCGCTGCCGCTTGTCGAACCCCTTCTGGATGATCTCGCGCTTCATGATGCACTGCGGGCCGAACGTCGACTCCCACGCCATCGACGGGTGCAGCTTGTCGAGGGAGATGTTGTCGGGGGCGGGGACCAGAGCTGCGAAGAGGGTTGTGAGGGATCAGGTCCAAAATGGTTTGGTTTAGACTGTATGGAACGAAAGTGACCGCGAGTTTTGAGATTGGATTTGGAGAAGGTGGAGAAAGTTCGTTATAAATAAGGGTGCAGCTTCTTGAGGGACGTGCTGGTGTAAGCGGGCACCAGGGCCGTCAAGAGGTTTTTGAGATTCCGGAAAGGTTTGGATTCAGCAAATAAAAGGATCGAAGGGGATGAAGATGACGGAGAATCCTGGGTTGAGTATAACATTGGAAACATCTTTTAGTACGACGTCCGTGGATTCTGCGATCCGGGTACACTTGTCCGGACGGGCACGAAGGTGCATGGCACTTGGACCTTCTGATTGACAAGTTTCAGAGTCCGATACTCTGACGGTCTGACTGCAGCTCAGAAGGAAAATGAATCCGAAGCGAAGTCTCACACATTGGAGGATTCGATTTAGGTGGGTTGACTTTCCAAGATTCCGAAGTTGTGAAACCTTACATATCCGTTGTCATTCATAATCATTTGAGGGCTGACCCACTGGGAACGGAACCGAAATACTCCGTAAACAACCGGGGCACGACGATCTGACCCAAGGGGGGGACCGAATGTTGTACGACCTGATGCCCTGATGCTACGTGTCTTCGATAATGCGAATATGCAATGCCGGCTCGAGTCGTTGAACAGCACAATCTGGCAGAAGAATTAAGCACTCAGGTTCCAAGCGCCTCACGAGAAAGATCAATGAGAGCTCGACTTTCCGACTATCTCACCAAGAAGATCCTGCACGAGCTCTGCCGCGGTCTGGCACGCACCCTCGAGCGCTCACTTCTCCTGGTAAACCACTAAAACAGACGTCACTTTCTGAATAATGTCAAAGCAATATTCCGGGCGGCTCACCGAGTGGCTGCTACACGAGCTGTGCCGCAGTATGGCACGCAGCTTCGAGCGCCCACTTCTCCAGGTAAGCCATTACAAGAGACGTCACTTTCTGAATGAAGTCATAGCGAGGTTCCGAGCGGCTCACCGAGTAGGTCCTGCACGAGCTGTGCGGCGGTCTGGCGCGCGGCCTCGAGTGCCCACTTCTCCTGGTAGGTGTTTTAAAAAGACTTTACTTTCTAAACGACGTCAAAGCAAGGGTTCACATAATCTCACCAAGTAGATCCTGCACGAGCTGTGCCGCCGTTTGGCGCGCGGCCTCGAGCGCCCACTTCTCCTGATAGACCACCTTGCGCTGCTCCTCTTGCGCCGCCTCGCGCTTCCGGCACGTTATCTCCACGTCCGCCATCCGCGAGCAATACTGCGTGCGCTTTGCCTCGAACGCCCTGGAAGACGAAATAGAACGAGTTTGCAAAGCGGGGTGGAAGGGTGCCGCACGTGCTTGCCACTTCCCTCTTTGCTCCTTCAAGCACGTGCTTGTTGCTGTTTTTGCCGTTGCTTTCTCGACGCACTGCAAAGGAATGAGTGTTGTGCGAAAGCATTGGAGAAGTTCGTGCAACGCAAGTGCCCTGATTGGCGTCCAGTCCTTTACGAATGCCGTGTCCAACCAAATCCAATGTCGCAAGGTGCGCAAAAACCAGTCTACTATGAAGGCACGTCTTAGGACCAAGTCAGCCCTGTTAAAGGACATAAGCTGGGGTCTAAAAAGCTTCAGCGCTCATGCTTGGGTGGCTTCTTCAAGTGCGTCATGTACGGGACGTCGTTGGCGAAAAAACAGAGCAGGTCTTAGAACAGGGGAGGATCACCCCTGCGGTTTCGCTGACCTCATCCATGCATCCCGCCTGCTTTCCAGCACGCGCAGCTTCCGCTCCACCGCCGCGATCTCCGCCCTCTTCTTTGCCAGCACCGCATTCTCTTCCTCCTCCGGTAGCGCCTCCGCTGGAAAGAACCCGAGCGACTCGTCCAGTCCCCCCGCCCCCGGCTGGATCTCCGCCAGCCGCTCCCGGCCCGCCACTTGGCGATCATCCGGCGCATCTTCGAAGTGCCCCTCGTCGGCCATTGCTTCGGCTCCCCCGAAACCGCCCACGCCGTCGAACCCCGCTAGGTCCCCCAGCTCGGGCCTGTGGCTTTCGTTCAAATCGAAGCGAGGCTCAGGTTTTGGATTCGCAGAATCATTGGCCCCTTGCAAACCTCCGAAGTCAGGGTGACGAGCACCCCCTGCTAATTGTGGGCCTTCCGGTGTCGGCCCCGGTTCTTGGTCCGCAGCAAGACCGCCGTCTGTGCGGGGTTCGTCAGTTGGATTCCCCCCAGGTTGCGCCATTCCGCCCGCATCGTGTTCCGCAGCACCTGCGCCATCCATCTCCATTGGCACTGCCGCTCCTGAATTCGCCCCCGCATTCTCCTCCGCCGAAGTATGCCCCACGTCCGGAGTTTCGAGACCATTTGCAGTTTCCGTTTTCGTGGGACCCCCATCCTGTTGCCCCGCTTCTGGCTCAGGGTGTGCCCCCCTCTCTCCGTGCAAACCCCCCTCGTTCCCCCCCTCCACGCTTCCGAGCCCGTTCATCTGCTTGTCATGCTCCATCAGGTGCTCCACCAGACTGTCGGCCACCTCCTTTGATGCCCCCTCGTCCTCCTCAGCCTCAGAATGCACTGACAATTCGGAGAGCGTCGGGGCGGTGTCAAAGGCCCGAGCCAGGAGCTCCCCCGGAGAGACCCGCTTGGTCTGCCTGGGGTTTTTGACGCCCTTCTTTCCGCTGGGGGGGTCCTTGCGCTTGGTCCCCCCTGGGGAGAGGCCGGTGTCGCGCTTGCTCGGGTTGATCGCTGCCCATTTGCTCTGGAAAAAGGTGGGGGGAGTGAGTCAAGGAGACAGTTTGACAGGGGTCTTGACGGTAGAGCAGAGATCAAGAGTGCACGGCCCTAGGCATAGTAGAGTGTTATGATTGTGTTAACAAAGTGAAGAGGTTATAACCAAAGTTGATGACTGGAGTGGTTGTGATAACTTCTGCACCCAAAAAGGTGGGTTTGTGCTTTCTGACAAATGAAATCCTTCCCTGAATCTTGGCAGGCTAGAGCAAGGCAAACATAGGAAGGGGATGAAACATATCAGTGACTGCACCATCGATTGACCATGCTATCCATAAGGTGAAGCGTATTACCACTTCTTCTGTCTGGTATCAGTATACTTCTCTAGCTCTCTGCATTCAAGAAGGTTTCAGACAACCCAAACACTGTCCTTGAAAAGTGCATTGCGGCGGACTGATCTTCTCGTTCCAGCTCGCAACGATCTAGAAGATACACCCCTTACAAATACACCAGAAGCAAGGTAATGCACGAAGCTTCGGCTTTCTGTTGCTAACAGCATAGCTCAAGCAGCAAATGCACCCTGAATCGTCAAGAATTCTAACCAATTGCATACAGAAGGTAAGTTTCATCACCCCGTAAAGCCAATTGCCCGTGAATCAGAAATGGCAGCAGCCCAAAAGCAGCATTGCTATTTTAGCATTCGCAATTGTATTGTCATCGCTGAAGAGCTCACCTGGAGACTCCCAATGGGCCTCCACAATAGAGTGGCAAACTCTGGATCCTGCTTGAGGACTGTCCACCGATTCCCGTGCTTTTTGAGCGCCCTCTGTAATGCGTCTATCTCCGCTTCGGTCCATTGCACAGGCTTTGCCTTGACCTTGGGGGCATTGGCACCTCCACCATCAGCGGGCTCCATTCTTACTCAATCTACAATGATCTCTAAAGCACAATGCACTTCCTCTTTTCCAGATTGGCACCATCCGCCAGCTCTTGGATTTGAAGGTTTTCCTGAACTCAAAGATTTGCTGCTGCCCCACCTTGAAGTTGAAGCAGCTCAGCTGTCAAACGACCTGGCCTGACAAACAGGCTGCACTCGACAAATAGCCGACCATGTGAACTTCTCTCAAAAGTCTGATGATTCTATCGGAGCCGTTCAGATTACTTATCGGACGCCACTTGTCGACTGATGGGGCCGGTGGTTTTGGAGCAGAGGCCGGTCGAAATCCACTAGGGAGTAAGGCACAGAGAAAGCCCGGTTCTCTAGATTTATAGAGCCCGGTAGCCCACTTGATGAGGGGGATGGCAAATTTCCACTTGAATGTTGCGAAGCTAAATCATAAATCGTTGCAGTTCCCTAAAATTCTTAGTATTAAACAGGCACGTCATCCTGCGCTTGGTCTAGCGGCTAAGGCGTAGGGATTTCCCCTTCACTGGGTGATGAAATGATGAAGTCAATGCCTGCGAGGGACCTGGGTTCGATCCCTCGCAAACGCACTACGGGTCATGCCGCGTGCGGGGTAAAAAGGGAGTATAATTCCTCGTAAGTCGAGGTCGTCGCCGCCTCCCAGGGGCCGCCGTGCGGTTTGGCACCCGCGCTCCGGCGACCATCGCCAGGTATAGGAGTCCCACGTCTCCAGCTGATGAGCGTGGTGTCCTCAGATTGTTCATCCTTTTTTAGTATTAAACAGGCACAAAAAGAAACTTGGTGGCAGGAAAACTTCGAAAAGCAGTGCCCACAGCAGGAACAAAGTCTGAGCAGGAGCGCAGCAAGTTGGTCTTCTGGAGGTCCCACAGTGAAAGGAATTGTGCGACCCTCTTCAGATTCTTGCTCTGTTTAGAAGCCTTGCAAAGTTGTATATTCAAGGGCGGAAGGTGTGGAGGGCGGCACATCAGTTGCCGATGCATTCTTGACAAGACAGCGCAGTGTCAATGAAGCTGGGGCTAGAAGATTTGTTTACGCAAGTGGCGCTACCTGCTATTGCTGATTTCAGGTCTCATTAAAGATAATGCAATCCAAAGTCTATTATGTATTCTGAGCAACTTGTCGTCCTTCCATGGTAGAAGCCCTCACTTGATTGGTTCTTGGATTAAACTATACAAATTTGGGCTCAATCCAATGGGAGCTCCTAAGCAGAAATGGACAGAGGAAGAGGAGGTCGCGCTCCGAAAGGGTGTGGAGAGGTATGGGCCTGGCAAGTGGAGGGCGATCCAGAAAGACCCCAAGTATGGGCCATTTCTGACGCAGCGCTCCAATGTGGACTTGAAGGTGAGAATTCAAATAGTACTGCATGCCAACCTCACAGTCTGCGAGGATGTTCATCTCTCGCCCTTGTTAGGGTTAGGTTTTCCAAGGGCAATGTCTAGGGTTACAAGCTAGCCCAGCTTTTTCGTGCTCTCAGCTCTTGGGAGGTGCTGCAGAACTGTTTGGTCCGAAGGTGTTCCAATCACTGAAGATTCTTTTATCCAAATTTCCTATGTGAGCTTGGTCTCATTTACCACCTAGAGAACAGGATGTCATAGCGTCTGTACCAACCCCTTTGCATGGCGTCGGGCCAATCTCTGCAAGAATGCTGTTTCCAAAGGCAGTTTCATGAAAAATGCGGCACATCCTGGGTTCCAACTGTGATTCGCTTGCTCTGAGATGAAGTAGAATGAATTTGACAATCATAGAGATTGGGCTTCAGCAGTGTTTGCTGGATGTGCTTTCAGGGACTGCTAGATGTGGTGTTGGATGTGAAATTAGGGTTTGTTTGCAGTGGCTTCTATCCTTGCTGTTGGCTAATAAACCATGCATGGTCCTTTCAGTGTGGACTTAACCAAGAAGTAGGTATTCTTATTAAGTGTCTGAACGTCTTTGTAAGAATCTGTTCATTTACGATGCAAATTCTGGTCAATGCCACGTTTGCAGCTAACGACCGTTTAGCCACAGGTATGCTTCTGTTCATAGATGTCTGGCAAGAGTGCAAGCACTCGCAGTTTGTCTGGCTTGAAAGAAGAGTCACAATAGCATCTGTATAGGCATGTTCATTCAACAACCAACTCTGGGCCAATTCCTGCAGGACAAGTGGCGCATCATGAGTCGGGCAGAAGGAGAGCCCCCTCGGTCTCGGAAGATGAATCAGGGGACAAGCTCACGCCCGGCCAAGCGTGCCGCCAGCACAGGCAGCGAGGATGATGAGGAGGCGGCAAGGAAGAAAAAGCGGAGGGATATCTTCCTCAAGTATGCACTCGTTTCCTTTCTGCTACTTCTACGCTTTGTGCTGTGCCAACTGGCTGCTCAGTTGCCCCACTTGTTCAGAGTGTATGCCGTGGAAAATATAGTTTATGGACGTTTGTGTATACAAGCATCAACAGACGGGAAGAATCAACATATGTTTTCCCAAGCTGACATAATGCATGTTTGTAGAGGACCAGACGCAAGGGCACTGGAGCAAGGGAAGCTTGGCAAGCACTGCGGAGTGCTCACATGCTGTTTTCGCTTTCCCATCGGCACCTCAATTGTTGCAGTGACGTCAAGAGATTTGTGGTCAAATAGGATTTTGGTTGGTAGAGCGATGCCTTCAAGTTCAGCGAAGCAAGCTCTTCCGTCCAAGGAGCGCCGTGTTTCCTCCCAAGGAGTGACACCTTTCGGTTCTAATTTACGTGCCCCGTTGATGCAGGTATGGTGAGATGATCACAGAAGCTGTGGCTGCGCTGAAGGAGAAGAGCGGCTCCTCATTGACGAGCATAGCAAAGTACATCGAGGTGAGACAAGCAGCAAGGAAATCAAGTAATTGGCACTTGTAACCAGTGCAAAGTGCAGACTTCTTGATCGAGAGAAATCTGGCCTTGTGGGTGCTGTCAGAATTCTCATTCATTTTTGCCTTTTCTCAAAGGTTTCGTTCTGTGATTCTTTCCAAAGCTTGGCCCCGGTGGTTGTTGACATCGAGCATGCTACAACATTGCGTTACTCTGTCTCATGCTGACTTGCTTTTGCAGGACAATCATGCTGTGCCGTTCAACTTCCGGCGACTCATTGGGGGGAGGCTGAAGACGATGGTGGAGGAAGGGATGCTTATTAAGGTGAAGAGACAGTTTCAAGTTTACACTTCTTGCAACTTCGACTTGCCTTGTATACCCGTCTCTCTTATTGACAGCTTGCCGTCTGCATAGCTAGGTTGTAAAGAGAGTCTGGAGGTACTTTCACGAACTGAAAGTATCCTGTATGGCTTGTAATTAAGACAACCGCATACAGAGCATGTGAGTAGAGGATGTTGAAGAGAAAATTTGAGAAAAGCAACGACCAAACCGTGGCGATAATACCGTTTCTTTTCGGTCCAAGAGAAGTCAGACACGCTTTGGAGATTCAAGCAGGATTAGCTGCATCAATGCAATCTGTGCTGACCCTCAAGCGGTCAGGCTGCATAAAACAAGGTCATCCTTAACCCCAATGGTTCGCTGGCTCCCAGGGTCGGGGCCAGGCGTACCGCCTGAACGACGGGACCGCGACCGAGAGCTTCGAGAAGCCGGTCAAGGCGAAGACGCCCCGGACGAAAACGGACAGCGAACGGAGCCGCAGCAAGCTAGAGTTAGGGCCGGACGGGAACCGCCGCCAGAAGACGGCAGAAGAAGCGGCCAAGGCGGCGGCGCTCGCCATAGCCGAGGCGGAAGCAGCAGCAGAGGCGGCAGAGCAGGTGGGGAATGTTGGGCTGGGTATCGCTAATTGTCCCGAAAATGACGTGTTGGTGGCTGTTTATCGTGTGCAGCACTGCGAATTTTGGTTCTGGTGGTTAAAATCCTTTTGCTGGCCTTCGGCCTTGAGTTCGTTGTATGCTTACGGTGTGGCCACTCGACGGTAGTAAGCTTGCAGAAGGTTGTTCCTAGAAGGACCTTTCACAAGATCGGGGTTGCCGAAGGTGTCAGGATGTCGTGAGGTGTTCATTGTCGGTCTTTTCGACTCAAGCATATAGAGGGTGTTAGATAGTTACTGCTTGACAGAGAGTGCGCCTTTGATACGGCGGAACCATGACATTTGCACATGTAAAATCCTCCAACTTCGGGAGTCGTTAACACGAATTCAGTTGACCGACTCCTGGCGGTCAATCGAAGAGAAGAACAAGGTTCGAATAACAAGGAGACTCTCTCATCCTGTTGCAAAGTCGGCGCTTCCGGCTGCATCCTCATTTTCTGCCTTTCTTGCTGTCCGCTAGTCATGTTGTAAAATTGTTTCCCGCATTTCCAGAGTCCCTTGTCCACGTTGTACGTTCTACCCATGCAGGCAATGCGTGAGGCGGAGCTAGCGGAGCAAGAGGCCGCCGAGGCGGAGGCCGCCGCCGAAGCCGCCGCCGCCGCCGTGCGCCCCCCCAAGAAGCGGAGCCAAAAGGGTGTCGCGGCTTTGCAAGAAGCCGCAGAAGCCGAGGGCGAGCACGGGGGGATCCCCGAGGGCTTGACGGCGCAGCTGTTAGGGGTGGACGCCGGTCCCCCTGGTGGTCTGAGGCCAACCGAGCAGCCGGCCGTGCATGCCGGAGGCTTTGACGGGGGATGGGGCGCTGCTTTCTTAGCAGGGGATCCGGAGAGGGGGGTTCAGCAGGGGGAGGGGGTACCGCTGCCGGAGGGTCTGCCGCGGCCGGAGGGTTTGGTGCGGCAAGAAGGTCTAGCGGGACCGGAGGGATTGGCACGGCCTGAGGGCTTTGTGCGGCCAGAAGGGTTAACGCGGCCCGAGGGTTTGTCGCATCCGGAAGGTTTGGTTCGACCGGAGGGTTTGGTTCGACCGGAGGGTTTAGTTGCGCAGGGAGACAGCTTTGGGGCCTTGATGGGACTGTCTTCGGGCCAAGCGCTTGAGCTACCGAGAGATTTGCGGGAGCCGGAAGGGGCGGGGTTGTTGCCACTACAAAGACCAGAGGGTCATCCTGAGGGTTTGACCAACCAGAGGACAGGATCAGGGAGCGTGGGGCAGCAAAGAGTGATGCCACCTCCTATATCACGGGGTTCGGAGCCTGCGGAAAGTGTGGCGGAGTTTGGACGTCCGAATGGAGCTGGGCAGTCCCAGGGGCTGATGGGGTTGCTCCAGGATCCAAGTCCGTCACGAGATCCAGGGGTCTCTCAGGGTTTTGCAATTTCGCACGATTTGCAGCCCGCTGAGGGTCTCATGCCGCCCCAAGTTTGTGAACCGCCCCCGCCCCAAGGCTTGCAGAATCCACAGGGTTTGAGTGTTCCCCAGGGGCTGCAGCGGCCAGAAGGGCTAGTACGGCCTGAGCCGCTTCCAACTTTGGACCGGCCTCAGGGCGGGCATGCGCCACAAGCGGGCGTTTCGCAAGGGGTGGAGCAAGTACCGGGCATAAAAATGCAACAAGGGAGCGCGCCACCGACGGGGCCGGATCCGGCTGCGAGCGCGCCAAGAGCGAGGGATCTGGCGGCGCCACTGGCAACCGGGACGCAGAATCCGGACGGCCTCCCGGAACCAAACATGCGGGTACAGGTGGGGGTGCCGAGTGAGCTCCCTCCAGCAACCAATGGTCCAAGCGACGTCGTGGAAAAGCGTTCGGGTCCTGCTGTAGATGGGGTTCCCGTACCAACAGAAGCCATTGACCCAGTGGTGCCTATGGAGGTTGATGTTCCCGCAGACGCTGAAGAGGTGAGCGGGGAGACAGGTCTTGCAAAGAGTTGACATGGCGCTGGAGATTAGGTGGACCTGTAGACTGGAAGAGTGACCCAGTGACCATTTATGCAACGAGCAAACCACTTCCTTTGTTCAAAAACAAGTTACGCTTTTGCCTGAAAGCTGGTCGATCAAACGCGTCCTATAAAGGAATTGTTCTGGTGGTCGGATCCTCACATATGCATGACCATCCACCGAAACTTTCGGTCACATTCTGTCGCTCGAGTATATAGGGGAGTTCCCATTGAAATGAAACATCAATTCGCTCAGGGTGGCGGCAGAGTACAATTAGTTATCGGCAGCACGCAATCATGCAAGACATTGAATGAATGATGTTTACACATGTAAAGTGACAGCCGGGTATCATATCAGATCCTGCATGTCTGGCCGCGCGCACGAACAGATGGATTGCACTGTCATTGTCTTGAAAGGGGGCCGGATGCACTGTCATGTTATCCGCCAGCGCATAATAATAGTTGCTAGCGGATGCCAGGATCCCAAACCGAGGGCAATGATGAAGTATTCAATTTCAGCGAACTGTGCGGTTACGAGGTGGCAGCTTGCACAGCTTCCTTCAGAACATCCCGCTGAAACATTGTCCGGTCATTTGCAAAAACCAAGCGGACAAGTGAGAACCAGTTGAATGGACATTGGCCAGGGAGACCTCGGTGACTCAATTCACTATGCACTTGAACGCCTAGCCCGAGCTAGTTTACGATCATTTCCAACGAGAATCTCCCATATCGGCCGAGGCAACTCTTCGACTGCTCGAGTCCGAATTGCAACTCTTCAGCAGGTATATCCTTCCACGCCTCATAAGGGCGGCCGCAGACAATATCGAACGCACCCGCTGTTTCTAGCCCGTGTTAAGGACAAGATTTCCCCTATCGTGAAGCACCGTAACTCCGTAGGGCTTCAAGGTGCCGGCCAAACATTTACACACACCGGCGACGGCAGCGTCGCTGTCTTTTTGCGAAGGTCCATTTCCAGCGAGCTGATCACCTCAAAGCCTGTACAATCTTCTTCCTAGGGCCCTGCAGATCAAGGTTAAAAGCCAGAATCAAAACCCTGCCTCAACTCAGCAAGCCAAGGCAATTAGCAGCCCCCTTTGAAATCGCTGAAAAAAGATTCAGCGGGGCCCCGTGAAATCTCAAAGAAAGAGGCTTTTTCCGGACGGGTTTTGAGCAAAGGGACTGCTAATCAAGGGGCTGCTAATTAGCCCCTAATTAGCCCCTGTTCTTCTTTAGTACTCTAAAAAGGAACGGTGAAAATTTCACGTGTCGTATAATCATCCCAACGTTCTCGGAATCCGAAGCAAGCAGCCGGGTCAAAAGTTCAAAAAGCAACACAAGACAAAGTATGATCGAGAATCTGCAAGGCATCGACTCTCCACTTCGTACATTTCGAGGCACAGCGCCGAACACTTTGAGGTGCGTTCCCAGACACGACCGAATCAAGTCATCGCGAGCAAAATTCCCAACCGCGCAAGCAGTATATAGGAGCGAACGAAATGGCGACAGAGAAATATGGCCTATCATCTTGAACGCTCACCATGGGGATCCCCAGCTCCTTCAGGTCACTCTCCTCCATGTGCTTGAGCGCTGTCATATCGACCTACGAACAGAAGAAATCACCCCGTCAAGGAAGGCGATGGCTGGACCCGTTGATGAGAGTCTGCGTCGGGCGAAAGCATTTGATGAATAAACTCCGACATGCTGACGTAGTGCTTGCCGTTAATGGATTTGAAAGAGAGAATAAACGGGTAGTCTCTTTCCAGCAGGCGTCATCGACTGCCAGGCCTTTTCGGTCTACTCGGACCCTTAAGAAACCAGAGTCGTCATTCCAAATGCCAACTGACAGTCACCTCCTCTGACACGGCAAGACGCCCCCGAAAACAATCTGGCTCCAAACAGATGGGGCTGGGGGGAGCAGCAAGACTCACAAACGATGCCTTGAAAACAAACTATTTTCATCAAGAGACGCTTCTATCAGACGAAGTTATATTCGTCCGGCTCATTTCAAACATCGGATCCGATGCGAGCTCCTCTGTGTGCTCCGTCACCCTGACCTGCTCGTGCTTTGTTGACGACCAGACTGATATGTGATCGACATTCAGCTGCCACAAGGAGTCAGACAACCGACTCTGAGAGTCTTCAAATAAAACTCGAGTGCAAGGAAGGTGTGAGCGCCCATACAAACAAGCACATAGGATAAGGGTATCGTTCTCACCTCTTCTCGTACAAAGATATCCATGTACTTCTCTAAGCCAAGGGAAATCAGGAGGCCCCTCACGGTCTTCGGAGCCTGGACCAGCAGAGTTCGATGTGAGATGCTTGAAGACACCAAGAAACATCAACAAGTAACCTGGATAGGGCATCCAGGGAGACCATTATGAAGGACCCGAAATGCTCATGCCGGTATTATGCAACACTGAGCGCGTCGAGGCAGACTGATCTGCGCTCTCCCAGGAAGAGCCCTCCTTTGTGAAAAACAAAGCAAAACAAGCTCATGACGGATGCGTCAGGTTGTAAAGGTCCTCAGTCCACAACCTTCAATGTTCAATGAACCATTTCAATTAACCATTTCAATTGTGCTAGGACTGGCCTCCAGCAAATTTGAGAAGGATCTAAGACACGCACGTCTTCCGCACCCTCATATGTGTCAAGAAGGAGGAAGTTTCTCAGGACAGAACATGGCGTCAAAACTCTTGTGCCAATCAGAGACTTCAAGCTCCTGAGGGCAGTCCTCGAGAACCAGGAGAAAAGGGAAACCACGCACTCCTGCCGGTCCGGCGGCTTGCGCAACCGGCGCCACCGCCATCGGGGCCGGCTCCGGGTTCGTCTTCTTGACGACCGATGCAAGCCTCCGCACGCCCCCCGGCGCGGGCGCTTGGCTCACAGCCCCGCTCGGCAGAACGACTTCCGACCGCAGCTTTCCCTGTGCCTGGGGCGCAGCTACCGGGCGCATTTGGCTCTGCGCTGGAGCCGCGGGCTGCGCCCGGGGGACGGTCACCGGGCGGGTGGCTGGCGCCGCAACCGGCTTGCTGCGCACGTCCGTTACGGTGGACTGGGCGGCAGGGGCAGCGGCGCGGCGGGGGGCGAAGGAAGGGACGGAAGACGCAATTGCTGTCGGTAAGGGAGTTACTGAGTTCAGCCGGTTGCGCAGATCTGGCCCGCCGGCTTTGCTAGTTGCGACCCTGCTTTGTGGGGCGGTGTAGAGGGCACTTCTAACGGGCGCGTCTGAGGTAGTTCTAACCTGGCGTGAACCTGAGGAGGGCCGAACGACCGTTTTCGCGGGCCTGAGAAAAGTGCCCGAGTCTTGGTTTGAGAGGCGTTGACGAAGGTCGGAGGTTTCGGTGGGCATGGAGGGGGGCCCGGACAGGCGGTGGCGCAAGTCCCCGCCATCGAGGCGCGCCCGCTTCCGCACAACAGAGCTCGTGCTGCGCCGCCGGTCGTCGATGCTGATGTCCGCTTCATCCTGACGGGCCCTGAAGAAGGAAAAGAAGGAAGGTTAACTTGCGTTCTTCCCGAAAATGCGTGCCTGCTCATTACTGATGGGACCGGTGTCAGGGATGGAGGTTCATTCAAATCTTGCAAACCTGCAGTACTATGGGCCTATACGAGCCTTTTGCGTGGATCAAAAATAGGGTACATAACTGACTCATGAAGCCGCACCCAGCAGTTGGCCTCACAAGCTGACTAAACAGACAGAAGGAGCTGAAATCCGAAGGAAATATACCCTGAAGTTATCAGCAACGACTTCTGAAAGCAGCTGCAAGTGTGCAAAGAACTTCCGTGGCTTTGCAAAACAATAGATTGGTTCGAGAGGAGCGGTCGATGAATGATGCTTCACTGCCATCAGTATGCTCCACAGAATGTCCTCACTTCTGCAGGCAAGCTGATACGCGCATCAAAGAGGTGGACAACGTTCCGAATGAGCTCAACTGTTAAGCCAAGGCTAAATTGTAAATAGCTTGATATGCAGGCAAATCGAACACGTAGTATGTTGTATGTGGGCAAGTATCTCCAGCAGCACCAGTAAAAGAATGCAACCCACCTTTTCACTCTCGCACCGTTCTTTGACCCCAGCCTGTCCTGGATACTCGATGCTTGCCGTGGTCCATCTGCGACCATCCTTGGAAAGATGTCCTTAGGAACCTGCAGGAACACAGCGCTAAGAATATCACTCCACTAAAACAAGTTGCTGGACATCCAAAACTAAAACAACAACTCCGTGTCACCGTGTAGGAAAAGCATGCTCATTTTAACCACTATTGATAAACCACTTCTCACAAGTTTTTCGTGCTTCTTGAGGAAATACAAGAGGAATGCGTGAATAGCGTGCTAGATACCTTCCCAGACCCGTCAAGAGTGACGGTGAACTGCGGACCCGACGACATGGCTGTGATTTCACCTAGCGGTCCAGGCGCAAACCACCCTGCACAATTGCCGCACCTCGAGCTGTGTTTGGGCAGGCTTCTCACTTCTGGAGCTCCTAACAACCCTGAGACTTTCTGCTGTCGAAGTAGACTCGAATTGGCCAACTTTTGACAACGAAAGGCGCTCCACTTTCGCGCCAAGCTCTTCCTGTGTACAGATGATGTTGAATGTTCATGCGAGTTCTACAACGTACAGCTCGGTATGGTCTGAGTACCTGCTGTAGCAGTTAGAACCCTAACTGTTTTGCTGCCCGGGACTTCTTCCCGGGTAGGCCAGGTGGATGTAGGACGGAACGTACTGGAATGGCGCAAGCATTCGTGACCGGTTCATCAGCCCCCGGGCCCCGGAGAAAAGAATGCAACCATGAAACTAGAGCGAGTGGTGGTCATTTTGGTGGAGAAGATGCCTGGTGCTTGCATGCCAGGGCGCTCTCCTCGTGCTCACTCAGCCTACTGATACAACCGTAACAAGGTACTTTATGTAAGGTAGTGAGATTCTCAGATACGGAAACCAGGTTAGAAACCTTTCAGGTGCAGGGTCTGGGGTCCAAGCCTGGTTTTAATTTGCCCTTCAGTTGGTCATTTGCGTCGCTCGAGAGGGCCCCGTTCAATTTCAGACGTCATTCAGTGGAGCTCCTCTCCATCTGGGAGGGTTTTCCTGAAATATTTGCGGTGGCGTAGTGCGGAGGAGCCATGTTTACGGGAGATTTCACCCAGAAGAAGAAGGTGGATCTGGGGGGCAGGAGGAAAGAACTTGACAGGGGCAGGCTGCTGGAGCAAGCAAAGGCGGACAGGGAGCGGAGAGCAAGGGAGAAGCTCGAGAGGGTCAGCGCCACGAAGATACAGGTACTTACGCTCAATTCAAGCACATGCACGTGAAATATACTCTACTCCAGCCGTGTTTCTCCACCAATGCTGACAGGCGGATCATCGTGCGATCGGTCTGTGGCGGGACTACTGGTGCACACTGGTTGTAGAGGGTCTCTGGCCAATTCTGTGGCATTCAAAGGATACATGCAAGTCCCGTGGAACATAAGCTGTTGTTTGAACAGTTTTGGGGGACATCATTCTCTATGCCTGCTTTGGAAAAAATCCACATCTAACGCTGTCACGTGCATCTCATGGGGTGCATCGAGAGGCAGGTCAGTGATCCCTCTGAATGCGCTCTTTGATGTAGGACTTCTGGAGAAACACTTTTCAGTGACATGAAATTGCCAGCTGGAGTAATTTTGGTCTGCATAAGTTAGTATGACAGTGACTGATGTCCTTACTAGTGTAACCGGCATAAACTTCTGTCTTACTTCTGTCTTAACTTTTATGTTAGCGCTTCTATCCTTTTAGTTATGACGTCCAACCAGTCAGTTAATCCCCACAGATGTGCGAGAAAGAAGATGTGAGGCTGCGACGTCTGAGCTTTGTTCAAACGTCACATCGAGCGATTGAATGATCAATTGATCAATCAATTTCAATCTTGTTGATTGAATGCCTCATCCTAGATTACTCAATGCAATTCGGTTTTGTGATCCGCTCTGCAGGCATTTGCCAGAGGCCGGAGGTCGGTGAGTGCTAGCCGCGATCAGTCGCGCAACTCATGGCAGGGGCAATTTGGCGCGCTGGGAGAGCTGGCCACCAGGTGGGAAGTTTGTTTTTTTGCTTTTCTCTGTTGGCAGTCTGGAAGTTGTTAAGGAGGTTGAGTCCCTAAAAGCCGCAAATGGCCTTGGCACGCTGCAGTAAACAAGCTCTCCATTTCACGCTAAGAACAGTCCACTCACAAGGAATAAAAGATCTGGATTGTTTTCTTGTTTCAAGCCTCTGCCAACCGGACGCTGTCCTTGCTTTATCCACATCATCAGGTGCATATCTTTCAAGATCCACTGATACGTACTGGTGTCCCGCCCTGAAGCACGCTCGTCTCTTTTCTACCTTCTATCTCTCCTTCTGCAGGGAGGCCCTCCTTTACGACTCCCCTTTTCTGCCCCAGCTCCTCTTTTTCTTCCGGCTGAACAATCCAACAGACATCGTGAGGTTGGCCGCAGCATGCCGCCTCCTGCTGCAAAACTACTCTGCGAAAGGTGCGATTTGTGCAGGCCCGCCGAGACCACTTCTTCTTTCGTTCTTCTGACAGGGGAAGGTTCCTGTATGCGTCGATCTTGTCCTGCTTCACACAGTCTGAGATTTCGGTTCCATCGAAATCTGCTCATTGAGGGGGGGAGCTTCTTCTTTGTCATGGTCTGATTCTGATACAAAGAACAGAGGCGCCAGAGATCTCGCAAACATGAAGGGGTTGAGATCTTTGTGCTGTGAAGAACCTTCCAGCTACAGCTTCCTCCTCGCGAGCTGCTGGTTATTCTTGTATCAATGAGCCGAGTGCTTCTAAGTAAACAGAGTGTAATATCAAAAAGAAAGTTAGCAAGAAGAAGTGCTCCGGCAGAAACGGTGGCGTCTGTGACGCAACACAGTTTCTCATGCGAGGATGATTCTCCGTTATCTGACTCCACTTCCCTATCTGCAGAGCCAACTGCGCTTTTCTTTGCTAATGGCGAAGCTCAGAAGCAATTGATTATGGCTCAGAGGGCGGCCAAGCTGGCGGTGACCTGCCTTCAAGCCGTCCATCATAACAGGTGGGCCCGGTTTTGAGGCATGTGAATGACAACAGTAGATTTAATTTTCAGAGATCCGCTCCAGAAAGAAAGACAGCCCACCCGGAACGGTTGCTTTCGGCATCAGTGCAGTAAAAGACACTGGATCTTTCTTTGGTGAAGCGGTGGTTCCACAGATTCGTGTATCAATAATGTGGAACAAGGAGTTAAGAACGCAATATAGTAATTGGGACTTTCGACTGGGACCAGCATAGAAGGATCTTGCCCGGACATGAAACTTCATGAGAAGAAATTTACCCGTTGGATGCCCCGAAGAGGGAAGCTACTTTAGACAAGGACATTTTTTGGAGTCACAGGTCTATAAAGAGGAAGGCGGCGGTGGAATCAGACTTCACAACGAAACAGGAAGCCTTCTTCTCCGAACGGACAGACAACTTCTTAACTCAACTAGACAGGGAACATTTTCGTACGCCCTGCAGGCAGGCCCTTCTGTCCGAGCTGTCCAGCCCCTGGCAGGCATCCCCCGGCAGCCTGGGCAACATTCTCCTCCAGACTGTGCTCACCCTTTCGGGGGACTTCCCCTGGGCGCGCCAGGTCCTCGAAACGCTGGCGCGAGCGGATCTGTTTGTATACATCCGGGACATCTTAGTTCTGGTGGTGAGCGGATCTGCGGGTTTCTAAGATTGTGCCTGAAAAGCGTCTTTTAGTTTCAGCAGATATCACGTGCTTTTGTCAGAAACTTGTAAGAGGAAGAGAAATGAGGAACTTTGCGCTGCAATGGAGAAGAAACGCTTCGACCAGTGGACGATCTGAATGGTCGATTATCGTGATTATTGAGGAGAATGTCCGCGGGCTGCTTGATCCGAATCATCGTTAGAAAACGCATTGAGACGCAGCCTCAAACGCACGCGCACCTTCGAAGACAGCCAAGTTAGTCTCTGGAGCGGATGACGGTCCGATTTACGTTGGCAAGGGAGTCCAAGCTCACACCCTCAGTGTCAGGGGAAGGGTTGAGTAAGACGTGGTAAGGCGGAACTATCGGCTTGAAATTGAGAATTCCTCCTCTCGCGTCGTTCCAGGGGGGCAGTTCGAAGGCCGTGAGCTCCATCGAGCGGGCGGCGCTCCTGCTGACGTCACGCTACTTCGAGGACCGGGTCGGCGACCTGGAAGGCTCCCTGCCCGCGCGCCTGCGCTTTGCCGCGCAGCTCGTCTCCATCCCCTTCTTCTGGCAGCGCTTCTCCACCTTCAAGCAGGTCAGACCGCGTCTTCTCGACCTCGGCTGTTGTGCATTATTCATCATATTTTCAGATCTTACTTCCTCCGTATCTTCTTCTTCGACGGGTCTGTCAGATTATGAAAAGGGCACTATCTCAAAGCGAAAAACCAGCTGTGAGCTTCTATGCAGGCATTATTCGGAGGCTAGGCTGAAGCCTATGAAGAGTGCTTTGGTTTATGTCAGAAGAGAGCAAGGCGTCGGTATCCAGACACCGTAAATAGACATTCACTGTAGTTTCATGACCTTTCTTCTTGATCCGACTTGTCCAATATCGTCCGCAGGCCGCTGCAAGCCGGGGTCTTTGGCAGCGGTCGGTTCACAGCCTTGGGGGCATACTGCCCGCGCTCGGAGGAGCTCTACCGGGCAGTCCTGGGCCCGCCCTGCCTTCGGAAGCATGCCTCCTGGGGAACCTGCTCGAAGGAGCCCCGGGGGGGCTCACCGCTCCGCAAACTTCGACGGAAGTGGTGAGTCGCAACACGTAAATGCTGCGGGTTTTAAGAGGACAAGGATGGCCGTGGTTAGGCATCCATGCAAAGCATGAGTGGCACTCAAGAAGTGCAGAAGAACTGCAACTTCGGATATTGTTAGGGAGAGAAGTTGTGTTACTTCCTCGCTGACGACCTCGATCAAGCTAAAGCAGAGTTCCAATTGACCCCTCAGCTTTTCAGAGCAGTGCTCTCTGAGGCGTTGCCTCAACTCATGCGCTGCGGCATCTCTCACGTGGTGGCGCAGAGAGTTTCGTAGCACATTTTCACGCAGCCACAAGCATATGTCCCCGCGGTTCCTGATATAAGTTGTTGCTTTATTGCTTTCAATCTTATTAACCAAGAAGTACATGTTTCAAATGTGTTGAACTCTTATCTGCACAGGCGTCCGAGTTCATTCGTGTGGGGCAGACCCTTATGGAGGGAGTCCCGTCAACTTCGTACAGTCACAAAGCCGCAGACGTTGACGGTGAGACCTCCGCTTCTCTACCGAGAGGTCCGCAGGAAGAGCTTCGAAGGAGTTCTATCTTGGTCTTGAAGCTTTTGATTCATGCAACCGTGTGCTCCTTGAAACGCTGTCCTTTGCGCTCTCCCCTTCCCTTACGCTGTCAGTCTCCTCCATGTGACGTGCTCATAGGTGGCAAGTAATACAATCGGGGGCGCTAAAAATCAAAGTATCGAATCTGCATGTGCATGAGGGTCGCGAACTGGGTGCATGACATTTCAGGGTAAGGGGTCTCAGGGTTGCGAACATTTAAACGAAGGTTCGAGAATTTCGAACCTATGGGGTTTCCGGATTGCCAACACCTGTACGGAACGTTCTGGAATTTGGAACTCAGCAAGTTGTCATGGTCGCTTTTGGTTGTGCAGGAATGGACGTGGAGTCCTCGGTCGAGTCTGCTCCGGGTCCATCCCTGGACCCGGCCCTCGTCAAGCAGCTAGCGAATTTGGGGGACGTCGCCGTGCTGAAACCGCTGGTGAGCCTGTCATTCCGTCTTTACCACCAGTCGTTCCGCTCGAAGTTCGTTTGTGCTGCTGTCTCCTCACCATGACGTTACCTGCCCGATGCTAAGGGCGATTAATACAGGTATTCTCTTCTTTTAATAAAGTAATCCTTCCTTTGTGTCCCCTGGTCCCAAGCATGCGCCAAGCCGCAGTTGCGAAGCTTGCAGATGCATTCTCGTCTCCTCCACCAGCGCTCCTGATGCGTGTTCAACATTCTTTGTAACGGTGCCCTTCCGTTGGGGTTATGGCTTCCGACCTACCTCCATTTCCCTTGTCTCCTTCACAGGTCGCGGCACTCCTTTCCGTTCCAACAGATCCCGCTCAACCCCTCCAGCCGCCAACCCCCTCGGAAGCTTCGCTCGTGGGCTCTCTCGCCTGGTTCCTCCATTCGGTTCACACGCTCTTTCCGCCCCTCCGCGCGCGCCTCTTCACAAGCCTCGCCTTCTCGGCCCAGTTCACACAGCGCATGTGGCTGTACCTGAAACGCTGCCACCTGGCGCGACAGTGGCCGTCGATGGCGGTCGTCGGGTGGGAGAAGCAGCTGCTGCCGGAGTGGCTCGGATGGATGCTGCCGCTCGCCGTCTTCTGCCCCGTGTACAGGTGAGAGGGGAAGGGCGGGTTAGCACGTTGGCAAGGCTTGACCAGAACATTAGCTGGTGCTTCCAATGGGCGGTGATGCTGCGGTCAGGCCGTTTCGTGAAGTCGAAAAGCCTACCGAGGGTTTCGCTTCACTTGCTTGGTCTCCTTCACCACTCAGAATCTGAATAGATTCCCAATATTATCTTCCACGTTTGGAAAATACAGTGGATTGCCTAAGCGTCAAATACTTCCGAGTTCACATGGGCCGACAAGGTACTCTGTTCTTTTGCCTGCAGCTATCTCCTGATGACAATCGACGACGACGAGTTCTACGAGAAGCAGCGGCCGTTGCCTCTGGCGGATTTGACCATCCTGTTGTCGATCCTGAAAGAGGTGAGGCCCGACGTTTGACGTCGCAGCTTTCGTTAAGCAGAGTCTTCCTTTTAGTCAGGACATAGGTCTGAATTGTAACCAGAAAAATTTCCCCAGTTCTCTGCTTTGCCTTCTTCGCTAAGTAGGAGAAGGATTTTGTGTTGAGAGACTCTTGAAATTCGGAAGCAATCCGGCCATTTGCACTCCTTTCGCCTCATAGGTGCTGGGGACTCTCCAGTTTGTTACTCAAGAAAGGTATATGTTGAGCATAACACCAAAGCCCAACCCATTCTGTTAAACCGCTGTCGAGCACCCTGCTGGCTTCATTTTGACCTTAAAAGTAGGTCGGAGGTACCTCACTATCTATGTGGCAGGCCTGGCTAATTGCTTTTTCTAGTTTCTAGACTTCCCACATCCTCCATGTTTGGCAGCCTGCTCACAAAGCGCTGTAACAACTTCCATTTTCCCTCCGCTTTTTCAGGCGGTGTGGCAGCTCCTCTGGACGTACAACTCTAAGCTCGGCTCCGGCAGCCCCCTGGCCACCCCCTCCGATGCGGGGCTCTTCTCGGCTGCCGCCACCCCCCCTGCCAGCACTCCCAGCGCTACTGCGTCCTCCCATGCGGACCTCTCGCCGCAGGCCTTTTTGAAGCACGTGGGCACCGTTGCGGCCACGCTACTGGCACAGGTAATGGGGGCTTGTTTTTAGAAATCCCTGTGACGATTGGGGTTGGGCGTAGCTAACAGAAGAAAAATGTCAGAAGGTATGATCGAGCCACGTTCAAGTACGTCGCTGAAGGCTGATTGTTGACTGGTCGCTCCTTGCGGGCTGGCATGATCTGTTCACTTTCGATGATCAGGATTGCATATGTTGCAAATTTTCGGAGTATGTTTGAGATTCCTGGTCTTGAAAAGGAACGTTTTCCAAGCTGTGGACAGAAGTTTCGGACTTTAAAACTGGATTTTGGGGCGAGAGTTTGTACCTCCAGCTTGATCCCTTCTCTACAGCGCTCTGGTTAACGGCGTTTCCTAATGTCGACGCTTTCTTTTTGCAGCTAAACGACCGCAACGCCCGGAGGGAGTTTACTCAGCCGGAGAGCTTCCACGCCAAGGGCATCGTGGACGAACGCTTCTACATACAGGTATTGCACACGTGGCGAGGGGCGGAGCCATGACACGTGGCAGTGCTCGTATCTGTCAGCAATGTGCACACAGCTTGACCCAGTGACAGGGCCGTTGTCGAAGGGCCAATGGAATGACAGATGCAATCATTGAGGCGGTCTAAAATCGACGTGCTTGTCATGGAAAGCTCATGAGCAACCAGACCGTCGAGTCTATGTCCACTCACTGCACGCGGTTGAACGTTTAGCGGCTTAATGGCTTCGGTTTTGCATGGCGCGCTTGGATCTTAGGACATGCTCATCCTCTGGGTTTGGTTGCTGAGTCGATCTTCTCGTGACTTCTGCGAGACCTTTGCCCATTCTTCCGTGCAGGCACGGGACGATCCCGATAGTCAAGCAAGGGAGCTGCTGCGGAAGGCGCCCTTCCTCGTACCCTTCCCCGCACGCGTCAGGGTATATCAAGTGAGCACTTGAGTTCCCTTGACAGCCCTGCTGGATTTCATTTTGACTACGCTTCACAGAGGAGGGGTCGTACTTTGAAGGTACTGAGGATGCAGTTTGGTACTCTTGCTATTTAGTACGCTTCTGCAGTGCCTTTGTCCGCGCTCTGATCTTTTTCACGACGAACGACGTTGCAAGGCAGTCGTCCAACTACTGACCCTAGTCGTTCCTTCTCTGGAATCCAAAAACTAACGAAAAGGAGCCCTTTGAGTCAGTACCCCTTTGCCAAGTTACACCTTGCCTTTTCAACCCCTTATCGTAGCGCTTCTTTGCTTGCTTCCGGCCTAAAAGACGCGTCCGAGGTGGATACTCTATTCTGTTGGCAGCCTTTTGGCCACCTGTCTTCCGGTCTCACAAGGTTTTTCACTGAGCCTCATCGACGCCAGTTCCCTTCCTCCTCGTCTTACAAGGCTGCAAGCACAAGGTACATACTTTCCCACAACCCCGGAGTTTCCCAGTTGCATTACTCTTCAACTACCTCTTCCCGTCCCTTTCCATACAGTCTCTGCTCGATGTGGCACGCTCCAAGGTCGCCAACTGGCAGACCCCCTGGACCGCCGCGGAGATCCCGATCCGGCGGAACCATATCGTGGAGGACGGATTCGACCACCTGAGCGGACGCCCGGGAGAGTCGATGCGGGGGCGCATGCGGATCCACTTTATCAACGAGTTCGGGGAGCACGAAGCGGGAGTCGACGGAGGGGGCCTGTTCAAGGACTGTATGGAGGGGATCATCAAGGTCGCCTTTGACGTGCAGTATGGGCTGTTCAAGGTGAGACGGGGAGCAAGGTTTTGGGCTCTTTCTGGGTGTGAGGTTCCGTCTTTGCAAAGCATGGTCTGTGTTAAAGGGGAGTTGGAGAGGAATGCCTGGCGTGGGGTTGATCATCTGGAAAGCATAGGTTATATGTTCAGAGTTGCTGGCTTTTCTTCCGACCGTGATGGTGTCAAAAGTCTGTCATCGTTCTGTCACGCAACCAGGTCTGAAGCAATGCTGACGTCTTTTTCACAAATTCGTGCTGAGCTCTGCTGTGAATGTCGCAGAAAGCGTTTTTATCCATGGCTGCGAGACTCGATGCTTGAGTGTCGCCCATCGAGCTTCTTTCGTTCCTTTTCCTCCGAGAGAGCGTCAATTTGAAAGCCAGAAGTCAATGCTGACGTTGATGCGATGGCAACTGCAGGAGACTGCAGACCACCACTTGTATCCAAACCCGGCTTCCCACCTCGTCATGACCAATGGGGATCACCTGCGGTACTACGAGTTCCTCGGGAAGATCCTCGGCAAGGTGAGCGGATGTTCTCCACGCGTGCTCCTTACGCCTTTCGATTTTCTTTGTTGAAGGGTGACTCTCTTCGAGAATCTTTTTTCTTGCTTAATTTGATGCATCGCTTCTTTTTGGAGTACATTCGTTGTGCCACCAGACGTCCTCTCCTTGCTGCGATTCCTTCTGCTTACCTGTAGCTGCTTGGAAGAACTACGGTCGCATTCAAGTGAAGTAAATGTAGTGATTGTGTTTCATGTCAAAATAAATAGGCGTTTTTCCATAAAAACATCAGCGCAACCAGTCCGTTCTTGCTTTGACGGGTTCTGTTGATCTCCAGGCGATGTTCGAAGGCATTCTGGCCGACATCCCGTTCGCCACCTTCTTCCTCAGCAAGCTGCAGTCCAAGTGAGTCCCGCTCTTACTCTTTCATCCTGCGTTCCATAGAGTTCTAGTGGTTTGCATAGTTTGACCGGTGCTCAATCGTTTGTTTCTGGCTCACGTTCACGTAAGCCGAAAACTAAAAGAGTTTCGGCGACTATTGCTACTTTCCGAATGTTGTGGCGGAGAATTGGGAAACCTGAGATTGTGAGTCAGATAATGTGTGTGGTTGCGAAGCGAGATCATCTCAGCGCTCACGTTTTCACCCAACTTCGATCGCTGCGCAGGAACAACCTGCTGAACGACCTGCCGTCCTTAGACCCAGAGCTGTACAAAAGCCTCATCTTTCTCAAGGTAAGTGGCCGACCTTCCCAAGTTCACGCTTTTATTACGCTGCTCTGCTTTGGACTATTGCGGAAAAAACGCTACCTCTTTCTCTTCTTGTGCCACAAAAAAGGTTCTAGTATTTTTGTGCGCATCCTTTCTGTTTGACCCACTTTTTGAAGCAGGTTGGCTTCCTGGAAGCCCCAAATTATCGCTCCTTTGCTGTCGTCAAGCCTGATGTCACCTAGAGACAATACGGCCCATCAACAGAAATAAGCAGATTTGCAGCGACTGACGCGGCATTCGCGTCGCTAATTCATGGCGATATTGAGCAAATGCAATTCACGGCGATATTGAGCGAATGCACTTCCGAAGTTTTTAGTCCCACCTCCCTGTGTGCTGAACACATCAACTAAGACGGCTCCGTTCTGAACGTTGCAGCACCACGAAGTTGACATGGTAGTTCTGAGCCTCCCTTTCACCTCTCCACCTGGATAAACGTGGATTTCCAAGAGTCAGCTTACTTATTTCGCAGCACTACGAAAGTGACGTCGTGGACCTGGGCCTCTGCTTCCACCTCTGTCTTGCCAAGACACAGTTTTCCGAAGTCTGCTTTTAAGGCTCCATTCGTGGTCTGTCAGTGCGCATATCTCAGAAGTCTGCTTTCAATCCCCGCAGCACTACGAAGGTGACGTCGTAGACCTGGGCCTCTTCTTTTCGGTGGAGAACAACGAGCTGGGCGAAATGGCCGAGACGGAGCTCATTCCCGGGGGGAAGGACATCCCCGTTTCCAACGAGAACAAGATCAAGTACATCTACCTCGTCGCGAACCAACGGCTGAACCTGCAGGTAGGTCAGCCTCTGGTCGAAATTCGGCAGCGGACGGGAACGTTGCTGAAGCGCTGAGCATTTGGCCGGTCACTCAAATGTGGCGCAGCTCGTCTTTGTTCACATGTCGTGAATCTGAACCTTTATTTCTGACATCCCAATCCGGAAAGTGCGCCCATAAGCATTGTAATTGCGCTCAGCAGTTCCGCGGCAGTGGGCGCTGGGGCGGGTCTGTTGACTCCATGATAGGTTCGGGTTTCGAACACGTTGAGTTTTTTCCCAACATAAGTTAAAAATCATAGTGTCTATCCCGGCTCCTTTCGCCCATTTCACTCTTTTTCCTGATGAGATTCAGCTCCACGTCTCGTTTGCTGTTGGTAACTCATTTCGAATTCCTACATTTTCCAACCCGCATGCCACTCCGCCTGCAGATCCGGCGGCAGAGCGCGGCGTTCCAGGAGGGCTTCGCCCAGGTGATTGACCCGGAGTGGATCCAGTTCTTCAACGAACAGGAGCTACGGATCCTCATCTCCGGCTCCAAGGAGTCCGCCGACATGGACGACTTGCGCGAGAATGCGGTGTACGGCGGGGGGTATGACGACAAGCACCCGGTCATCCAGGCCTTCTGGGACGTGGTCAAGTCGCTGGACTCGCGACAACAGAGGCTGTTCCTGAAGTGAGTGCCGTTGAGTTGTTGAGTTGTTTGAGCTGACTTTGCTGCTGGTTTGAGTTGTTTGTGCTGCTCATAAGCAAACTGCTGAATGTGACGGTGCTTACTAGATAGATATTGAGTTCTGGCAGCTCTTTTGGCGAGCGTGTAGCAAGCTCGCCAGTTGCATCAATTGGGTTAGGAAAAACGAAAGGGGGGCAATAGCCGCAGGACGCCCGAAAACAGAGGTTGTTCCGTAAGTGAGTGCCGCTAACATCTTTTCAAGTCCTCAGTATCTCTTCAGTCTGTTGAGGATTTTCGAAAACGGGTTGGGTTGGCAATCGCCCAGCAACAGAGGCTGTTTGTAGTTTCAATGATCCTGGGTTGCGGATTGCTTGCGGTTCTTCTGCGGGTCTGCTTAAAAGGTTTGCGAAAGTTGGAGGAGGCGTCAACTTGCTGGCTGCCATGTGGAGGGCTACTCTCAGGTACTTCGTTGCTTTCATCAGCGTTTTTGCCGTGATTGTCTACGAGATCTGCGTAATCGCTGGCAGCAAAGACTGTGGCAAAATTGTAAAGGCATCACGTCCTGTTCGCGGGTAGGGAGGTTCCTATTACTTGAAGCATTGCAAGGTGGGCTACCCAAGGCTAGGGCGAGCGTCTGAGCATTCTTGATGCTGAATACATTCGGTGGTGGTTTTGAGGGTCTGAATAAGCTTTACATTTCCAGCCGGTCCGGCCATTTGACAGAACACGAAAAGGGCTTGGAATGTCAGCAAGTCGCTAGCTGCCGTGCTTTATGTCTGGCGAATGCTCGGCTTGGTGCTCAGCTTTTTGGGACGTGTCGGATGTCCTCGGGCAGTACAGAAGGCCAGGCCATCGGTCTACGACAGACAAGAGACAATTGCAAAGCGCGTTTTGCAAACGAGTCACACGAAGTTGAGAAAGCGCTTTGTTTCGGGACAGTGAAGGATTTGAGCGGAGCAGGAAAGGTAGCGTGTGGGTAAAAAAGTTTTATCGGCCGCTCACCTTCAGGGGCACGACCAATCCGGCGTCGGTGCTTTGATCCGGCCTGATCCTCGCTCGTTTCATTTCCAGGTTTGTGACGGGCTGCTCACGGGGGCCCCTCATGGGCTTTAAGTACCTGCAGCCCCAATTCGCCATCCACAGGTTGGTTGCCTTCAATCCTACAAAGCCACAATTCTGGACTTTTGCAACCCTTCAGCAGGACTTTAATGAGATTCTTATAGCCGGAGCTCTGGGGTTGTTAAGGACATCCTGAGGCTTTCAAAGCCCGAAATTGGATGCAGCTTTCGAAAAGAACCCTCTTGACAGTTTTTGGCTCTCTCCTTTCGCTGAAAGCGAATTTGAACCAGTATTGAGGGAGCGAGACGGCAATTACGCACAAGCTGCACCTTCTTTTGCTTTCGCCTTTCTTTGTTCACCGAGAGTGCACTGTTGTCGAAGTCCTTACTCCTGCATGCAGCGCCTGACGAGTCAGTTCGAGTTGTGCATGTGTGGCCTCACTTCTATCGGCGATGTTGCGGCTGTCTCTCGTTACCTGTTCTGCTTCGAAGTGGCCCTTCGAGGCCCCACCTGATTATTTCTCCAACAATCACGCGCCAGCACCCAGGTCATCACGTAGACCACACAACTCGGTACCGGACTGTGCGTCAAGCGACGAACGATGTTGCAGTATGTTCATTACGTGCTCGTTCCAAAGTAGTTAAGTATTGGACTTTTCGAAACCTGCATTAGCTTTAAGAATTCTGAAGCTTCAACATTCTGAAACCAGAAGCTGTAAGAGAAGAGTGTTGTGGGTTGATTTCCCTCTGACATCATCAGCCTTAGCTAAGACGGACATTGTCTCACCGCTTTGCAGGGCCGCCCCGTCCGACCAGCCGGATGCCTCTGTCCGCGCCGACATCGTGAACCGGCTCCCCACGTCTGCCACGTGTATGAATCTGCTGAAGCTCCCTCCATACCGGAAGTGAGTGCGACAAACCTTCATTTTCATTTTTTCCCCCTAGAAAGTTCCTCTTGCCGCCTAGTGTATCCTTCTCCTGCGAGTTGAAATATGGGCTTCTCCGGAATGGGAGCCACACTTATATTTAGGAAGGCTATCCGCATAGCATGCAAGGTAGAGGTGGATTTGTGCGGGTTGCTGTGTTCAACGCCGTCTTGGCATGCATTGCATCTCGTTGATGTGGTCATGGTCTTGAGCTTATTCCAATCACATTTGTTTTTTGTCATACAGCAAAGACATGATGAAACAAAAGCTGCTATATGCCATTACCGCCGGGGCTGGCTTTGATTTGAGCTGAACAACATCAGAAGAATTGACACACATAGACGAGCTGACGGGAGCTTGAATGCGGGTATGTTCTTCGCGTCTCAAGCTATACGGACCTTGCCTATAAGAGGATGTTCCATGTATACAGCTACTCTGTTCAAAAGTTGTATTATAGCATTCAAACGGCTTTGCGCAATCCCTTGTGGTTGGAGATCACCCTCAAGTTGAGTTGCATTGCACTGGATGCGTCGTGGAAATCTTTCTGCGGTTCGATCTACTTGGGCCAAAGGTATGCATGATGCCATATTCATGAGCGAACCAACGGTCGACAAAGCGACTGGTCACTGTCACCTCAGCATGAGGATCGAAGATGTAGAAAGCGGCCATGCGAATGAGTGCAGCATTTACCATGATTGTGCACGTATATACCCCTCGTCGAGCCAGTGGCGGAAAAGCATCAAAGCCTTCTCCTTTTATTAGTGTCTCCGACCCGCCAAAAAGGTGTAAAATACACTCAAACACCTGAAGTCATCAGAGCCGTGACTCTGACAGTGGTTACGGGCTGTGGTTAGGAAAGTGACAGTGACGCTGACATGGTGACATTGACATTGACATTGACAGTGACAGTGACCGGGGCTCTCAGGTGACATTAGGGTTATGTTGCAAACCTGTAACGGTTTGTGGCAATCGACTAGCGTTATGTTAGGGTTACGTCATTTCCAAGTGACATTAGGGTTACTCACTGACAGTGACAACCGGGCAGAGTACTTTTGGTTTAGGGTATGTAGCCACTTCCTCTGACCCTGTCCCCATCTGTACCGGAGGCCGTACCGCAAACTGTACGGTAAATCTGACAACTCTGACGGAGTTCTGATCGAAGGACCTGATCTGACACTTTAATCCACGCGTACACCTTCAGAGCCAATGATCCCGCGTGCGAAGTATTTTCCACACTTTTTGAAGTCTGAGACACTAATAAAAGGAGAATGCTTTCAACTTTGTCGTACTTGCGCCAGTGGCGCAAGAGGCACAAAGTTGCTGAATAAATTTTGGTAGAATCGGACGCGGTACTCGACGGTTCGGACGTGGTCGGACACTCAAACCTGGTCGGGTAGCCTCGAAGCACACTAAAAACCTAACACCAATGGCTCTGCCGTTAGTGGGAACCCTAATCGTAGAGCAGTCACAGGGAAGGAATGTAACCCTAACAAACCGTCACAGGGAAGGGGCGTAACCCTAACACACAGTCAGTGCTTTGTGACTTGACCCTAAGGCTAGTACGAGTGCCCGGTTGACTTCGTGGTACTAGGTCCGGTCCTCGTACAAATTCCTGACGGTGGGTACCGTTCCGGTCGATCGACGGTCTCGATCGTCCGTCTCCAACTCTACCAAAATTTATTCGGGAACTTTGTCCGTTTTGCGTCAGTGGCCACGTTCAGTTCATGGTTCCCGCGGTTCACGGTTCCCGATCGCCGTCGGCCTTGGCAGAATCCAAATTAATTCATCCAAATGGGTACTACCAGTCTACCAATACCGTATCATCATTCATGTACAGTATGTCCAGACTCCAGAGTCCAGACCACCGAGTCCGGAGCCAGTGCAATTAATTGGGGCTTGTCCAGGCCCAAGCTGGACCCTGGCGTCCAGGGTCCTTGGCAATGGTCACATCATACATGTTTCAATCAGGGATGCCTGCAGCCTGTACATTGTATACTGTTCAGTCTTAGACAGAGTACCGTACGGTATGATCAATCATCACAGCACTGCAGCTCATGTGTGAGTCGTGATGTATGACACGCATTGGGCTGCCCTCGCATGTTGCGTGTTGAAGGCAACTTTCCTGCTGTGAACGATTGAGCCCTGAAGGAGGCAAGGCCGCTACAATCTGGGCGATGATCTAGCTTCAGCCTACTTTGAGGAAGACAAAGAAAAAACTGAGCGTGGCTCCATGAAGCATTCGGACTTTCGGAATATGACCAGGCAAGCTACACGGTTAATGCAGCTGGCTAGATTGTATTCTCCCTAGGCTGGCGGAATTCGTTGAGCTTGCATTGAAACCTTTGAAACGATTTGATAAGGCGCGCCAACGTCTCCATGCTGTTTCTACCGGTCCTTCTACTCTCATGCCTAGTGTTATACCTGAGACTTCTGGTCGCTTTGGCTCGACGGCTGATTGCCTGTAGCTTCATGAGCAGCTCATCAGGGATTGAGTAGTATTGACATTTAAAGGGTAACAGGTCACCTCTACGCTGCATCATACCTGCAATAATCATCGTCGTACTAGTACCGGCCAGCTGACCTAGAAGAAATCTTTCAATCCCTTCAGGCAGATGACCAAGTGCAATATGTGGCATGCATGACTTCCTAGTTGCAGGTTGCAACAACCAGTTGGATATTTAACATACTGATTTCCTTCGCGCAAGCAACGCCTCGCTCAATGTGACTCTAGAGACTGGAATAAACTGGAAGAAAGTGAGCTTAGCAACGGACTTGCAACAGCGTGCGCGGCACGCATTGATTGAGCTGCCAAGATGGAGGCAGGGGCATTGGACGAACAGAGTCCAGTACAAGCACTGGAAGAGGCGACAAGAGAAGAGCTGAAGGCTCTCTGCCGCATAGCTTGGCCGGTTGCCGTGGCCAACTGCCTGATGAATCTGCGGCTGCTGATATCGCTTGCCTTCCTGGGGCGCCTCGGTCACATAGAGCTTGCCGTTGAGTTGTACTTTCACATTGAATTTCTCATGTTGACCACTTGCAAGCGTGTGACTCAAATCAGTCGCATGATTCTAATTTGTCACCACACTAAAGCGCGCCAGTATGGGATCATGTGCATTCTGGGTAATTTCAGCCTGAAACCCTAGTATCAAAGTTCCCGTCTGGCGGTATGGCTCTCGAATTTTGAAAGGTCCTCGATTCCAATGTAGGATCCAATCAGGCTTCGAGGGGTTGCTGACAAGCTCTTGAGGCACTGGGTAAGACTCGGAGAGGCAGGAAAGGCGCCCAACATCAATCTCAGAAGGTACCAAAAAACAATTCACGATCACTGAGGTGTACAATCTGGCCAGGCAGGTATCTCAGCTGCATACATGTTGCTCGCTTGCAGGGGGTGGTCTCGCATTGACAACAGTGAATGTTACCGCGCAAGCTGTGATGTTTGGTCTGGCTCTGGCCCTGGAGCCACTTCTAGGAGGAGCGTACGGAGCAAAAGATTTCAAAGCCATGGTAAGTTTAGTACGAAAGCACCTACAACAAACTTCTCTTGCCTAGTGAAGGCCTTTCAATTGGACTGGTAAGTGTGCGCCATTCTGAGCTCAAAAGCAGATTTGACAATAGCTCACCAAAGAAAGTCCACCAGATACGATCCCGGTCCCTGCAAGAGCGTTGTCTCTAGTGGATTCAATCACATAACCCCATATGTGGAGACTCGATCGCATCCACGAAGTTCGAATTCCTCAGCGGGTGCCTACCTTACCAAAGTCACGCTTCTGGATTTGGTGGTAGCTGCCAAACTAATGTGAATGAAACCAGGGATCCGGAGCGTATTCCAGCTGCTTCTTTGTTATTGTCCAGTGAGTGAAACCAAACCTTGTTTGTTCTGATCAGGGGTCGCCCAACGAAAGTATACTTGAAACGCGCTGCACGGTTTCAGCTTCTGCACGGTCTACTTATCTGAAACCTTGTACTAGATCAATTTCGTCTTTGCAGGGCGCGTGGCTGCAACGGAGTCTCCTCATCCTCTGGCTGACTGGTGTGCCCATTTCTATTCTTTGGCTGAATGCCGAGCCAATCCTGATTGCGTGCGCCCAAGACCCGGCGATAGCCCACGTCACTGGAGCGTTCCTACGGTATCTGTTGCCACAGGTGTTCCTCCTTGGTGCAATCATGCCGCTCCGCCTCTTCCTGCGGTCCCAGGTGAGACTCGGCCCATCAGGCGCCCCGAGTCACGAGGTAGAGATTCCGGACACGGGCAGAGAGCCAACGCAATATCTCAAAGTCACACAAAGTACGCTATCCATAGAGGATTTGCAAGAATCCAGCATGACTGGATGCCAGACACGTCCGCTTGTCTTCGGCGCACGATCAGTTCTTCAATGTCGAGCACCAACTGCTGATCATCCACTGCTTCTATAACCCTTCCGCTTTTGGAACCGTGGACGACATCAGGCTTGCTCGCACATTCACTTATAGAGGCACGTTATCGTTGAACCGACAGGCTGCGCTCGGTTGTAACGATTACGACTGGTTAAGCCTAACCTCGTTCTCGACAGGATTTCGTTGACTCCTGCGGGTTAGCGAAACGGCGGTGGTTACGTCGTAACGACGCACTGCGTGTCTGTCTGTAAGACGGCGTGATATCCCGGATGGATCGGCTTCAGTGAG